TTCCATCATAGAGAAATTTACATATCCCGAGAGTGTCTGCAAGTTATTCCTAATTTTCACTTTGATTGCAGGAGTTTAACAGGAAATTAATATCACGACAAATTAATATATAATGTGCAGTGAAAGTTTGCCTCCAGGAGAGCAAATTGTGACGCTCTCTTACGGTAAAATTAATAACACAAGAAGTGTTTTCAGTGCGCTTTGACAAATGTTGAGGTGGCATTTACACATAAGCTTGATAATGGAGTGCAATTCAAGGTAGTTAAGATATGGCAAATAAAGTCTTTATTTGTACAAAAATCATAGACCAAAATAAGAAGTAATAATCCAAAGTTTCTTCATTGAGAAACTAAATTCTAAATTGAATCGAATTTTTCACAATATTATTTGGATGAATTCAGAAGTTTAGAAGATATTCTCTGTTTTCCAACAAAAATATTTTCATTAGTTTCCCAGAATTTACTATAAGATTTCAAAACATTTCTAATTCCAAATTGTGAGATTTTTTTATTGCTTCTATAAAATTCTGTGGTCTTTGTGTCGTGAAACATGAATAAATCTTCTCAGTCGTAATAGAATCAGTCTTGACTCCTTTTTGACCATAAAACCTCGTAGAATTTATCATTCATATGCATTTTTATCCTCGGGATATAAATTTGTGCAGACTCACCTCGTTTCCACCACAAATAGTGCTGAAACACTTAAGAAGCTCCTTCGACATGTAAAAGTGTCATTAAGCATCTCTGATATACTCCATGAATGCATCACATTCTCTTGCCACCGTTCATTCTCACATCGTGCAATAAATCTTCGTGAAATGCAATTATCACTATATATTCCACCACTGAACTCACTCTTGTTGCGAGAAAAATCTATTCACTGACTTTTTTGCACACTCTCTCTATCTCACTGCCCTGGAAAGAGCCCCTGCAAAAATAAAGGGTGAAGCGTTAAGGGAGGCGAGTTGAGTTGCATGAGAAGATGGTCCGATTGGAATTGTTTAGAAAGGACAATGAATCATCGAGCTTCGATCGTCTGCTTGCTGAGCTTAATGCATTTTTCGGTGTGTCAGTGAATGAATTTTGTGGATCGGGCGCACCCCCACATGGGGGTGGTGTCAAGGCAGGGTTGAAAGACACACGAGAGAGACGCTCAAGGACTCTGGCCACCCATTCACCCACTCAGCAAATAGCCATATAGCTAAAAGTTATAAGCGGAACTCTAAACCCGCATCTTCCACTGACTTTCAGTGCCTGTCGAGGATTTTTGTCGCCAATCCTCCCTTTTCCCCGCATTCAGATTGACTGCCACTGACGGACAGGCAAGAGTGCGACATTGCGAATTGCCAAGGTAATTCCAATTTCCATCAACTACACGCGAAATGTACGGATTTTCGCCAGAAAGAAAATGTCACCAACTTGAATTTTTACGAGGCCACAAAGTTAGAGTGAAATAAACCTCTTGAATGCCACTGAAATTATTTGTAGTTTGCTATTTTCATTCTAAGATTTCGCGCAAAAGTGAAGAATTTGTAGTACGATTTTACTGAACGTAAGTTTCTCCCATAAAATTATGAGTAAAAATCCATGACTTTTCAAGTATATATTAAGAATATTGAAAAATTAACGATATCTTTAATACCACATAAAGAATTTGTGATGTTCAGTAATCTTTTACATTCCTCTTTCATAAAATCGTTCCATAACATTGCTGAGAAGTGGAAAATAAGATAAATAAAGGCGGAACTTACAAGTGGGCGGAGCTTCAAGATGACTGAGGCTTAGTGAACTCTTTTCATCTCAGTCTTCTGCCAAGCTTCCGACAAGATAGAAAAGTAGAGAGTTAAATAAGAGATTAATAAACAAATATTTTAAACAAGAGTAAAACAAGGTTTAAAAAGACAAAATTTTCATATTTCCCTCACTGACCATCAATCCTCGATTTTGCTTTATTGGCATCAATGTTAGATCACTTTAGCAATAATGTGCAATATCCTCGCGAGGAAGTTGCAAGACCGCCCGCGAGCAACTGGGAACACTTTGCGAAACACAATTCCCACTTGCGAGGCAACTACTCAATACCTTGCATCATGTCGACACTGTAATTTGGCAGGGAAATATGAGCGATAGCGCTTATCGTGATTTTTTGTCCGCTCCGCTATTCATAAGCAGTTTATCTGGGGAACGCTTCAAGGGCTCACGCCGTGCTCTGGAATATGGGCAATCTTGAGTTGGGAATATTAAACATGTTTGCTGCGTGGGTGGTCTATCTGCCCATCTCGGCGGAGTCATGAGTTGGGAATCACAAGAGCGCTCGCCGGGCAGCGGCTAATCAATACACGAGATACGATCGACTGGGTGGCGACACTGGAGGAAAATTAGCACGAAGATCTATCGCAGTGGGGCTTCACGGGCGCCCCAAAGCCTCAAACACCCCGAAATGGGTGGGTGGCTTTTTGTGCAGTCAAGCCGTGATGGTCTCGAAAGTGGTGGGATTACGTGGAAAGATTTTCTCCACCACGAACAAAAAAAGAGAGGGCAGGGAAAATGCCAAAAGAGGGAGGAAAAGTACCACGAAAATCCATCTCATGTGTGCACGTTTGGATTTCTAAAAGGGAAATGCCTTTGCGAAGAAAGGCAGAAATTTCCAGCGGAAAGTCAATAAAAGTGTGATATTTCACGGGTTTTTCCATCTGCGTGGACTTGAGACATATCTTCTGGGGTGTGCGTGAGGCGCGCGTGAAGGAGCTTCGCAGGATCTGCAGCGAGCTTGCGTGTGTCCTTCACCCAAGAAACTTTTGCACAATCACCTCAAACCGCCTCCTCGCACAGATTCACTCACACGCGGTCTCCACCGGACACTCAGGGCATCGCCACACGCGAACACCCGCGATGGCAATGTGGCCAGTGAGAGCTCCCACAGTCCGTGGCCCCACTTGCGCGCCCCCGACCCGGTCACACCGCGATAGACCGCCTGAACTGAAACTTGAGAGGATGTTCTGGTGGGCTTCAAGACAGCTGGACAGCGAGAAAAGATGGAATCGTCACTGAGGAAATGTCACCACTGAACTGATTTGGGGGTCGCTTCTTGTCCGCATCACCCTCTCGCTGGAGGTATTTTCCTGCAAAACGGGAAATACACTCTCTCTCTCTCTCTCGCTCTCTCGCTCTCCGCATCCGTCGCGGATTCATCTCCCAGATACGTGTGTGCGCACAGAGAGACAATGTGAGAGCTTTCAGGAGAGATGAGAATGCGGCACGAGAGCCGTTCGCATGACTACAGTGAAAGATTGCCACTTCTCGCGTCCGGGGAACAAAGTTCGCCATGCGCATCGCATTTCCCCATCGCGAAGGTTAGCATGAATGGACAAAGGGCGATGTTTCACGGCCATGAGGCACTCATCCAGCATCTTAGATCTCTAACATGGGAAAAGTTTCGCTTCATGCCCAGCAACTTCAATTTGCCATTTCTGGGAGAGCTTGCAGGGTGGAAAAGTCAGTTGTTCAATTTGAAATTCATAGAAAAGTGCCTCAGAACATTAATTTTGTTCGAGGTTATGTGAATGGACCAAATAAAGGGTAATCATTACATGATTTCGATGCTATATACATTTCTTTATGAATTTTATATTAATATCAAAATATGCAATAAATAATAGCACTGATTTATGTTTGTCTTATAAAAATTGGCAATATTTTCAACAATGAAGCAAATAAAGTGCTTTTCATTTATTTTATTTAACCCTTCAAAAACATGTTGAGAGACTGGAGAATTTTGTATAGTTTAAATTGAACCACCAAAAAGCGTGTGTAGTTCACCTCAAAAGTTATTTTCATGAGCCAAATCTCCAAAAACTCTGATAAAGTTCTTAATAAATTTATGCAACAATTTGCCTGTGAGTCAGACTATGGCAATAAATTGATTATTAAGCGATAAAAGAAGCACCGGAGAGGCGAAGAACTTCACAATCATGGAAGAAAATGATAAGACACCCGCCCTCAAACCCGCGAATGTGTCGCTGAGAGTCTTCTGGGTGTGGGAAATGCGCGCGAGAGGTGAATAAGGAAACATAAAATTTAATCTTTCACATCTCGAGCATTTTTGGGTGATGATTGCGGCAGCCGAATTTGCATATTCGCGCAAGCACATGATATTGAATTGAAATGAAATGGAAGAAATTTAATTTCTTCGGATGGGGTTTTCGCATTGGAAATCCGCTGGATTGATTGTGAGCCGAGGTGCATTGCTGGGAGGCTATAAAATATTGAGATTTTAATACATAACACTCCAAATGGGAATGTCTGATATTCCGTGGGGAATTTTCAATTGGGAACATCTTCATGTACAATTGACCCACACACCCATTAATATTTGAAGCTAATATCGCTCCCTTTTATCGCAATTGCAGAGAGCATCGGGCAAAAAACACACTCCATCTCCCAAGATTTCCACGCAATTCTCCCCGGTTTGTCCCTGTGTTGAGGAGGCAAAACCCCAAAAGTGCGAATTTCGAATGAATAAACAAGCAAGATATCCTCAGAGCGCGCTCTTTCGCCCTTTTTTCCTCTGGCCTTTGCAGCAAAACAAGCCCCGAAATTCGTGTGTTAATAATTGACAATCTCAGCCTCGAACGCGACTGCGGCGTTTCTATATGTGAAAGGAATAATTTTCAGGGAGAGAAAACAAGCCATCAACATGATAAAGCCACAAATGACGACGAAGAGCTCTTTTTACGCACAGGTGTTGCTCGTATGGTAATCTCTTATGATTTGTTTTTGTTGCACTGCGTCAATTTACGGTGCGCGTCATTTCAGGGCAAAATCGTGTTGTTTTCCCTCGAATTACATCCAAAACGATAAGCCGCAGATTTGAATGTATGAGCGCAATTTCAGGAGAGATAAAGCCAATTTGCAAATTCAGTATTCATTCATATAATTAAACATTAGCAAGATAAGCAGAATTTATACTGATCATTGTGCATGAAATTCATCATTGTATCGTCACTTGGCGAGGAGATTCTTCCAGAAAGTGATCATTTCCGTGTCAAAGGAATTTGTCACGATCACCTGAACATCTTCCAGTTGCTCTTTCACGTCCGTCGGCAGTTTCACTTCCACTGTCTTTCGCCTGAACTCCTGATAGTCGCAGAACGGGTCAAAGTTCATGCGATTGCACTTCCGCACGGCGCCAGCGTTTAGTGGCCTTCCAACTGTTGCGAACTCCACGAAGGTGTTTACATACTTCTCCACCATCTTCGCGTCCAGTGAATCCTTGGCAAAACCTTCGGGAAACAATGCCGGCGATGTGAAGAGGTAGACCAGATCATCTGAGTGACCGACGCCAAATTCGTGATCAACGGGCAAATCGTAGAGTATACTGGTGAACGATTGAGAGCCTCTGAAGTTGAATTTGGTGAGGAAAACAGGCGTTCCTTTGTTGCTGCCGTACTGAATGTACTGCCGAACGGACTCGTAGACAGGATAAAAGAAGAGTTTGTCGCTGAGCATCTGTGAAATGGAGTCAGGAAATTGATAGAAAACTGAAAAGTCTATCAAAAGTGAAGATTTACCTTTAAAAATCCCATCAGATCCGTCTTATCAATCGACGCGCTGCTTTTCATGTAGAAATCCCTGACAGAAGGAACGAGATTTTCGTCAATGTCCAGGAAATCCGCAAGATTCTTATCCAAATTCTCATTGAACTCCTCCAAAACAGTCGCATTCGTGATGAAATCTAGCCCAAGCGTTCCTTCATTGGCCACAACGCCCATCATGAACGGACGATGCCTGTAAGTTCCCTTCTTCCACACTTCTCGCGGATCTTCCTGAATCAGAGCGCCTGACCAGCGTCCTTCGAGGCAGAATCTATATGGAGTTGAGTAGTCATTCTCGTAAACTACATTTGTCGCCCTCACGACTTTTTTCACATCGAGCTTCCGCATCTCATCGATGATATCTTGAGTGCTTCTAGTGGCAAAATTCGACAACTCCATAGCTTCTGCGTGAGCACGGAAGTTCTTCACAGGATTGTCCCAAATAGTCCATTTGGTGAGCATTGATCCGCTGAGAAGAATTGCTCTCTTGAAGAAATCTACAAAAATATATAGTATATAAAGTCGAAACTCTGGCACAATGATGAAGAAGACTAACATCTCGTCTGAGGATTCGTCATCAAAACCTGGGCCGAAATGGATCCGATGCTCTGGCCCATCAGCGTGACCATTCGTGGATTCCCGCCGAACTTCATGATGTTGTCCTGGATCCACTTGAGCGCCAGCACTTGATCCTTGAGCCCAAAATTGCCCTGACTCGCCGAATCGCCCGAACAGAGGAATCCCAGAGCGCCCAATCGATACTGCACAGTGACGAGAATCACTGTTCCATTGTCCATGAAGTAATCCGCTCCGTGCAAATCCGGGTGTGCTGTTCCGGAGACAAATCCCCCTCCGTGAATGTATGCAATCACGGGGAGTCTCTGGCTCGTGGGATTCGTGGACAGCGGCCGATAGACGTTCAAGTAGAGGCAATCTTCATCTCCAATAACATCATCTGTGTCGCCGAAGTAATTCTTTTGCGGACACATATTTGCCCCCTTCGTGCAGTCCTTCACGCCAGTCCAGCTCTCAATTGGCTCAGGATTGCGGAATCTCTGACCCTCGACAGGCGGTCGCGCGTAGGGAATGCCAAGGAAGGCCTCGTAAGGACGATGGAAGCCAAGAGATGTCTTTCCCAGGACGCATCCCGAGGAGAAGCACACTTTCGGGTCATTTTCTGACGCCACAACCGCAAGTGTCGCCAGGAAAACCACTGCACTTTGCCACCTCATCGCAAGCTCTTCGGGTCAACCACCAAAATTCAACTGTGTTCTTGACCATGTTCTGCATGGTGTTACTTGGCCATATTAGGAAACAGCGCCGGGAAAATTTCAACGAAACATTCCCAGTTGAGTAATTATTTAGAAATATAATTTCTTTATTGTTTCACCTGTTCAGAGAAAATGCAGAGTTCTAAAAGATGGCTTTCCAACAAGCCACAAATCTTCGAAATTGGCCAACTAGAACCAAAGTTTTCCTGTAATTTACGATACATTTCACATATCCAAAATTTCACTCAGCGCTGGAACCTAAAGACGGACGGGTTTCCGTGTTTGCTCGACACACGAACAGGTTTTCACGCGTGGCAAAGAAACACCGCGTTCTTAAAATCTCTGTAAATCTCTTTTATTTCGATATACAGAATCTTTTGGTACAAAGATCATTGTCATGGGTCTTTTTCTCTCATATTGTCACAATGAAACAGAATTCATATTAAAAATCTAATTAACAATCACAAAGGAACGGAAGTGCGCCCAATTTGATTCAAATGAAACACATAAAACACGATAATTTGATCATCCGTCAGATTGGGAAGCACAACGTTTTTCCTATTGATTCTCTAAATAAATCTAAAATCTATTAAGTGAAAGAAGAAGGCACTTTGGTCATTATTAAGTCAAAGCTCCGCAATTAAATCGGATGGAGATTCTTTCGCTGCTCCTCCGTCAAGTCCGGATGCCAGATGTCCACGATGAGCACCAAACGCACACTTGTGCCATTGTGCCACACTTCGTGCTCGAAACTGTCGTCAAAGATGAGCACTTTTCCCTCCTGCCAACTCTTCGTCTCCTCAGCCACCCGCAAAGCCGTTCCGGGCGGCACTTTGAGCCCCAAATGTGCGCGAATGCGGCAATTCGTTGGCCCACAGTGGGGCCAAACGTGCGTTCCCGGATGCATTACGCTGAACTTAATCTGGCCACGCGTGCAGAAGCGCGCCGCCGGGAAGGATTCCATGATATTGCACGTGAGTGGAGTCTTTTGGCAGTTTTTCTTTAGTCTCTGCCCTGAAAGGGACAGGAAAATTTATAAGATAATGACTTGCAACAGGCTCTCCTTCAATTCCTTACCTTGCACGAACAAATCGAACTGTTTCCAGTCACCTTGATCCCTTAGATTCTCCGTCTCGTCGGTAAAGAAGCCCTCCTCACTCAAGAGCTTCATTCCTTCATCTCTGATTAGCCTCCAATTCTGCTCAAGCGTCTCGAAGAGTTTCCCGCTTCCTGTCTCGTCCATCGTCCAGAAAGGTCTGGACTTGAGCGTATCGACATTGTACAGGGATCTTTGGTATTGCGATAGGAAGAGCTTCTTCTTCGCTCCCAAGCGGAAGACATTGCGCGCCTCTTTCGTCTTTCCCAGGCGAATTAGGGAATCTCCGAGGGCAAAATAAAAGCGTCCGTCTTGCGTGCCTTCAGCATTGCTGGCCAGTCCTTCGGTGAGATAGAGAGCCGCGTCCTCATAGTCACGATCCAGGGCTTGCAGCACGAAGCCATAGTGAACGAGAGCGACAGGATCGTGGCGCCAGCGCAACAGAGTGTGATGAAGAACGAGTTTGGCGTCGGCCAGTTTGTTGACCAGCAGATAAGTGATTGCCATCTGATTGCGGTACTCAGGCTGGTCATCAAAGCGCAGAATGAGAGCCTCGTGAATGGGTATCGCCAGAGAGTGGAGCCCTGAAGAGAAGAGCAATCATTATGCATTCCATCAAGTGCCAATTTTACTCAAGAGGAAGATATTAATTTTGAAGTTTTGTACACATTTCAGCCATATTATCCTCGCCTTGGAGAAATTCTTCAATTCTCACCGAGAAATCTCATCCTGTCGATGCATCTTGTCGCCGCCGCCGTGAACAGATCATCAGACACATTCACCTTCAGCCTGAGGACGGCCTCGTAAGCTTTGATAGCATCCCGCAGAATGGAATTGCTCTTGTGCACCTCAGCCAATCTGTCCAGCGCTCTGGCGCGCCCAAAGAGTGCATCTGGACTCTTCGGAGACTTCTGCAGCGCCCTATCGAAGGCTCTCAGGGCGCTTTCTGGGTTCTGTTGTGCATTGTTTTTCAACAGTTATGTTTGCAAAGTTAGTGCACAAAAATCAAATAAATTCTCACGCTTCAAAACATTGACAAAACAGCCCTCAAATGCACGCTTTGTAGTGCAAAATATCTCAATTGCGAATAATTGTGGGTGAGCAATTGAAATACTTTGCAACTTTTGTGTGCATTTACTAGGAATAACACAGCAAAAAAAGACACGAACAAACACATAGAAGAATTTGAAAAATGAAGCAAACAGAAATCACAGAACAATGTCAAAGAATTCAATGTGCATAAATTATGCAGATTTTTTAGTTTGGCTTTGTTTTTTTTTCAGTCTCACACTCTAAAAGCCATTGTGAAACGAAATAAAGAATGATGAAAATCAAGGCCAGAAAACTTATGTTATAATTACTTAAGAAAGTTAAATTGCTTTGTCATGAAAAGACACACAAGAAGTTTAAGAAAAAAAGTGGCAAAAGAACACTTTTCACTCAACACAAGAGGAACTAAGTTGTGAATCTACATTTTAAATGAGTGTAAAATATGTTTTGTGTGTGTGTTTTATGGTTTTGGAACTATGCAAAGTTGAATTCCTACAAATCATTTATAAAAACAATTGTAAAAACATAATAGAAAATTCTAGAAATACTATATAAAATACTGTGTTGAATCCGTTTCAAAGCCTCGACACTTGTCGTCCAAGCAATCATTTCGTGTTTGCAGACAAACTCATCAAGATTGCACTTCTAGACTGACAAGTAATCGAGACTTGAGTAATTTGGCAAAAACTCACATCTTCAAGATCATCATTGGCGCCTAGAAGATCATCATCAAGCGACTGCGCGCCAGATTTCGGTGGGATTTCTGAAACACGACAAAAAGCATTAGAATAAAATATCTAAAAAGGCACGCAAACTAACACTAAAACATTCTTCTGAGATGTTGAATCACTTTTAGAGACAAGAAACATTGTTTTCTCTTCTTTTTTAGAACAGATGGATCATGAAAATTAGTGACTTCACTATGACTAGGAATTACTTGTCCACGATTTATCCTCCTCGTCCTCTTCCCTGTCACTCGACTGTGGCAGCTTTCCGTACTTCTCCTCCAAGCGCTTCATGAGATCGTCGTCATCAACATCGGACAATTCCTCCGCCTCGTAATCCGAGCCTTCGTACTCTTCCTCTTCAGCATACTCAGCGTCGTCCTCACCCGAATACTCCTCTTCCTCCTCCTCATCCTGACGCTTCTTGGCCAAGTCAGGAGGCTCTTCGATTGTGACTTTGGGCGGTGGCTTCGACACTTCCTCAGCAGGACTCTCTTTTGGCTTGTACATGGCGTTCAGCTCTTCGAACGTCGCCGGCATCGGAACCTCATCAGCAACTTCCTCTTCGTACTCCTCGAGATCTTCCAGAGGTCCTTCTTCGTCCAACTCCTCCTCAGAGTACTCCAAATCCTCGCCCTCTTCATCATAAATTTCCTCCTCGTCAGGCTCTGGCAGAGGCTCTTCTTCCGTGCCAATTGTCAGCCTGCGCCGCATATCAATCAGTCCTTCATCAACAATCAACTCCTCCTCAGTCTGCTGAACACTGTCCTTAACAATCTCTGGCTCCTCAGCTGCTTTTCCTTCTTCTCTTCCCCGACGCGCGCGCCAAAGATAGAAATTTAGTCATTAAGAGAGAGTTGAGGACTCTTCACAGTATACACAACAAAGCGCAACAACAACAGCAATTAAGAGTCAAGTGAAAGACAATATCAAGAAAAGACAAGATCCTACCGTTAGAAAGTGCAATTTAAAGTCTTTTTCTTTTTTTAAGAAAAATAAGGAAGACATAGTAAAAATCAGCACATGCAATCGCTCTCAATCGACAACATCAACAACAACGAAAACATCCACTCACTGTTGAATGTCTTCCTGAGCAAAACGGAGTGTGCAACCACAACAAGGGCCAAACCGATGAGGATCTTTTCAGCAACTGCAATTACAAACGATTTCCCATTGTTTAAATTGCACTTTCTCTCGATCGCACTTCACTCTCTCCACTATCATGTTAATTTTTGCGCTCAATTCCTCCAAAAAGTGATTCAACATTTTTTCCGTCTCGCCTCGTCTCCTTATCGTCTGACTATGTGGACTTACGTGAAGATGAGGGACTCGCTAGTTGATCATCTGCATCATCATCCACTTCTGGCTCGACCTTTTGGGCCATCTTTTTCAAATGGAGCTCCTCACCAGCATCATTATCAATGACATCTTCCTGCGATCCATTGTCGTCCAACTGCGAACAACAGCAATTAAGTTATCCTTGAGACCTTCATTGCTAGACAACAAGTCAGGGAAATCAAAGCAACACACAAAAAAACCCACCTTTATCATAGGAATGTCTGAAAAGTCCTCAACCAGACACTCTTGACCGGAATCCTTCAGTTCACTGAAAGATGGCCTACCCAATTGCTGCGCCACTTCGTCATAGGCACTCTTCATGGCTTCTATTTGTACTTCCAGTTCGGCAACTGTTACCGCTTCAGTCTCCTTAGTGGCAGCACTCAATTTGGTTAGAGGCACTGCGTGGTTTTTGTTAGTGACAATTTGCTAGACAGGCGAAAGGATCAACACAGGGTATTACAAACCAGCAAGGAAATCATTCATATTAGAAGCCACGCCCACTCGAATGTCCCGCCCAAAATTGCACACACTCAAACAAATGTGATGAAAAATACCTCTTCAAATGGAGCATCATCGTCATCATCGTCATTGTCTTCATCATTGTTATCATCATTGTTATCATTATCTTCATCATTATTGTCGTCATCATTATTGTCATCTTCATCATTATTGTCATCTTCATCGTCGTTATTGTCATCATTTGCGTTGTCAACTTCGTTGTCATCATTCTCCTCATCATCTTCCTCTTCGTTGGTTTTGTTCTCCTCATCGTCAACTTCTTGATCATCTTTCTCCTCATCTTCATCTTCATCTTCATCATCAGCAGCAGCGGTATCAACCTCATCATCATCTTCTTCTTCGTCATCTTCTTGTGCGTCATTGTCTTCTTCGTCGTCCTCTTGCTGTTCATCGTCTGCTTCCTCATCATGATCATCTTCATCATCATGCTCGTCGTCTTCATCGTCTTCTGCTCCTTCTTCGTGATCCTCCTCCTCCTCAAAAGGCTCTCCATGCTCATGATCCTCCAATTCCTCCAGAGATGCCAATACATCGTCGTGACTATCGTGACTCTCTCTATTCTCATCCACCCATCCTTCCAAAATGTCAGAGAACCTCGACTCGGACAGCGGCGTGTCAACTGCAATTAACTCATTAGCGCAATTTCTTGCTCTGCGCCATACAATCAACTCACCATCAGACAAGCCTCTGTTCTCCAGGATGATCAGTCCCACGAGACCCGCCAGAATGGCCAGCAGGGCGAAGAAGACGATCTTGGCGCACCAGTGACCGCCAGTTCCGTGATCCTTGTGCACGTGCAGCTGCACATCGTCCGGCCCCATCGACTGCACGCCACTGGGATGTGACGTGACACTCTCGCCTGCATCTGCGTCCTCTGAACGGTTATTTTGCGTTTTGGCGGACAATATAGAAAAAAGAAGCTGATTCTGCGAAGCAATCTTCAACGCTAAGCACTCAAGGCGATCAGGTAGCCGGATGCCAAGGTCACAAGCGTGGCAGTCAGAATGCTGAGCCTCGATTGGCTGCTAGCTTTCTGGGGTTTTGGAATTGATCGAAGGAATCAAAGACATAGAGAAACATGAGGGAAATTAAGAGGAAAAACCACATTCAATCGTCTCGAGTTTTTATGATTGTGGCGCTAGGTACTAAAATTAGACAATATTAAAAACTTAATGATCAGCATAAAAGAGATATCAACGAGTAAATAGTCCCGTGACCAGGGCATTTGGGGAGTTGTGAAATGAGGATCTCGAGCTAACCTTTGGTGCTGAGCCTCCTGGCGATCTCAGCAGCATCCGAGACACTATCTACAGAGAGGGAGAGAGAGAGAATAGAGAGCTGAGAATCAGAGACGCTTGGCAGCTGCCACATTTCTATCGTGACAACCGAATCCATGGGAGAGTCTCTCGCAAGCTCGGCGGTCTATTTAAAGACACCCCATCGCGCGGATGAGAAAATGGACTTGTCAGGGCATTCCTCATGGCCAGATTCACAGGGGAGGCTCGAAACCCCTGGAAAGCACCCGCGCGCCCGCCACTTCAGCCTAACCAGCGCGCCCGCGCACCCTAAAAGCCCCGCCAGGCGGTTTTCCGCGCGTTTTCAGCGGCAGGAAAAGCGCGAAAAGCGCCAAAGCTTTACCTTTCTTCTTTTTGTCTTTTCTCTTGCGCGGCTTCTCTGACATCTCACCGGTCTCGGGTCACGCGGCACACAGAAAGATGCACAGTCAGATTTGAGACGGATTGAGGCACTCACGAAGTGGAAATTCACTATTTTCCGGCAGGAATTTGCTGAGAACGAAACTTCTTCACGCACTGCAAATGGAACTGAGAGTCGCGATGGCGCAGCTGTCAAGACGTCAAAGCTCGCGGCGAATTTCCATCCCGGTTGTGGCGCGTCCGCCAAGATGTATGCTGAGAAATAGAGAATAAATCGCTGTTCTTTCTGATAATTTTGCAGCTTTTATTCCTACGCAAGTAATTTTAATTATTTTGCCTCTAATTAAGTGAATTGCGATACTGGCCAAGTTTCGAATGTAGTGAAATAATTTAATATGGTGAAGAGTTCGTTGCGCAACTACGCCACTGTTTTTCGCGCGTAGCGAATTTCGCCGCCGATTTTGACACGCCGAGGAATTTTAGGTTAGTGCGTTTGTGTTTTGATTTCCTGAAGGAAATACTTCTTAATTTCCTAACTAAACCACGGTGAATTATCCGAATTATCTCAAAATCTATCGGAAAGAGCGCCTATATGCCTTCAGTGGCAATGGAAAGTGCTGTAAAGTCCGGGGAAGATCCAAAAGGGGACAGTGAAGAGGATAGCGCAGACACTTGGTCTGAAGAGCGCTTCACGGAGTGCCTGCAGACAGTTTTGGGGCGCTATTACTATCGCTCCGCGCATCGGCTGCAGATGAAAATGGTGCCCCCGTGCTACAGAGACCTGGAGAAGTGTTCGCGCGAGCACTGGAAGACGCAGAACATCGTTGTGGCGTCGCACGCACTGGAGACGGATTGCCGGAATCAGAAAGACGACACACTCTTCCAGACCATCAATCACATATGCATTCGGGGCTACTTTCCAGGCCCCAACATTCTGCAGGTGATTCTCCAGGCGATACTCAATGCGGAGGAGGCACTCGGGCAGCTGGAATTTGCCTCTGATCCTCCGCAGCACAGTCTGCACATGAGCATTCAGAGCTTCGAGATGATTCTCATGCAGTTCCCGCCGTGCATCCTGCAGCTGGAGCCGCACTATTCCACGCTCCTGACCAAGCAATGCACCTTCGATGAGATGCAGGAATTCGCCAGCGGAGCCGACGGCATTCTCTGCTGCATCGTGGGCACAATTGACAAGGTTCTGAAGAAGCCAGAGAGCGAGGAGGTGTCACCTCTTGAGCAGAGCAACACTGAGCGAGACCTGAAGAACATAGACATCACTGATCTGGGCGGCGGATTCGGCTGCCTGAGCAGGAATGCGAAGTTGGAGCGACTGCACGTGATCCTGCATCTGCTCGTGAAGCTGATGGAGATGGATTTGGCCATGTGGATGCTGCGCCACCCCAAGAAGGCCTCCAAGTCCATGCTGAAGCCCACGAAGCAGCCGCTGGTCGGGAAGATCCTCTGGCCGAACGGCGACTTCGCCATCACGCCCTTCATGGACACGTGTTTCACGGTCTTCGTGCGGAGCATTGCGCAGCAGCTTCCGGAGGATTTGCTGCAGATCTCTGGGGTAATTGAGCACTATTCCTTGTCCAATGCTCTCCATGACCATTTTTCTCCCCTCTGCAGCGCCTCATCGGTCTGATCTCCAACGCTGTGAACCTCTGCGAAGTCCAGACCACGTCGCAAGTCCAGTATCCCTGCATCAAGCAGAACTCCATCAGCCTCGCCCAGACTTTCATGAAAAGCATCGCAGGTGAGCCGCTGAAACCGCGTTTTTGGCAAAAGCATGCAATTGATAATAAATTGCTCGTGTCAATAAATTATTTCCACTGCGAAAGCCGGAAAGAAAGTGCATTATTTCAGCGATAAGCGAAGTGAATTTATTGATATTATCAAGATTTTAATGCAATTAAAGGGCGAGAGAGACAAAAATAGTTGATTGGGAAAATGGGTTTTTCAGCACGAAAATTGTCAATTGATGGCATTCGCGGAGTAAATTAACGATATGAGAATAAAAATAAAATATATTTCCCATTTCCTCTACAATTTTGCATGTCATTTTGATTTGAATCAATTTTACAGACTTGTGACAGAAATGTCGCAGCTTGAACTGAATTTTCCAATAGTGTGAATCTCTATAAAAGAATTTTTTCTATTTTTAAGAATAATCATTTAATTATTTATCATTTCCAATGCTTCTTCCCATTCATTGCAGACTTTGAGAATTCTAGTTCCAATTTGACTGTGAATGTCATCAAGAAGATTCCGTGCCCAATCTCGAAGATGCTGATGATCGACAGCATATTCAGCAGCATCGGCTCTCACCCCGGAAGCCTGTGCATTACGAAGATCTTGAAGATCGTGCGTGAGAAGGCGTGGATTGCGCGGAATGCAGAGATTTCGCAAGTGGAGCACGTGAATCTCTTCGCCGATGCCATGAAGTGCTGGCTGGATGTCTATCGGCTGCACGACGTCTTCGAGGCGTACGCGCGCGAGGAGAAAGATGAAGAGGCGGATAGCAAGGAGCAGGAGAAGATGTCGCTGGACGAGAAGGTGGCGGAGGAGGAAAAGCGCGTAGGACGCAAAGTGCGAATGGATTATGACAAGTTGAATCGCGATCTGAGCAAGATTCTCAAGGGATTCAAGCGCGACATTCCCATCAAGTACAACGAGTTGAACTTGGACTGCAACGTGCTCGGGATCGCGGACATCCATCAGCTGTACATCGATGAGTTCAAGAGTGTGCTCAAGCTGCACAAATTCCTGGTGAATCGCAGCGCAAGATATCCGAAAATCTTCGCCGATTGGATTGCGCTCATTGAGAAGCTTTTCGGCTTTGCCATCGCCACGAATTAGCGAAGGTGAGTTTTTGAGACTTATTGGGTGAATCATCCGTTTTGTGAATTATTAATTACGACCACATTTTTTTGTATGAATTCTTGCATTCCACCGCAAATTTCATTAACAATGATGCAATCGCTGTCAACCCACAAAAGGCAGTCTTTTGTATCGCCTCTGGTGATGTTGTCAGCGCGAATAAATCGTGAAAATGGCAATGATTTGTCTATTTGAAATGCACTTTTTCATTGGTTTTTGACGAACAGAAGCAGCGATATTGAGAGGCACATATATTTCTTGCAAAAACCCATTCAATTGAGAGGAACGTGAGATGAATGGGTAAATATGCAATATTTCGATTACTCTTCAATTCAGTTATGGAGGAATTCAATCAAATTCAGTGAGATTTGGATGGTTTTTATTGATAAAATGCCGAAGCACAGTGAAGAGACGTTTTAATAGATCAGAAATTGATCCATTTTTTCGCCGTTTCGAATGCCAAACAAACGGAGGAAGTAATAAAATGAAATGGTTTTGTATCACAGTGCCGGCCTGAAAATAGTTGAACGGTGAGAGTTTGCAAAGTGATTCGCAGTTTATCTATCTAAAAGGTGTTTACTAACAGCATAAATACACAATTACAAGGATTTAACTTGCGATAACTACCAGATATACTCTGAATTGCATCTCTTATCGCAATATAATCGCGGGAAACTCTTGAGCTTCTGCGCTGCAGACACTATTTTTGCGTTTTTATTATATTCAAGAGAGAGAGAGAGAGATTAGCTCTTGGTGTACAGATTAGTTTCTAGACAATCATTTTCCTCATCAGAATTTTCCGAGAGCCCAGATTATATTATGATAAGTTAGAAATTCGGAAAGAAAGTGGTGTACAGAAGGCATATATTTTCTTCCCTTTGATTGTTCCTTAAAACGCCACATTATTTGGCGCACGGTAGAAAAAAAAAGTGGAGGTGGAAAACCATGGGATCTGTGCGAAAAACAGAAAAGTTGCAAATATTTGTCTTGCGATACGAGAAAGTCGATATGCAAATTTGCCGAGAGGCAAAGACAAACAGGCATTTATACATCTGCAAATATCAAGTGCGTCTCGTACAATTGCTATAGAATCGACAACAGAAATCTCACTTGATCATCAACAAGAGAGTTCAACTGGTTGTAATTGAGAAAATGAGAGTGAAGATTGGCTTCCCACTCGAAGGGAAATCAACACAATTAATCATATCTCAATTAGCGATCGTGTTTTGAAATTAAAACCACCTCTTTTGTCTGGCTGTGGCTAAACGTGTGAAGGCATTTTGATGGGCAGAAGAAGAGGAGGAAAACTGCAATGGGAAATATGTAAGAAGTGAAATGAATTCTCATACTCACAGCAATGATTGTGCGTCACCCTGTTGGTTTGTTTGCCGCGCGACGAGGAAAAAAAGCATAAAATTCCCACTATACATGAATCAATTTCGTTTTCAGCGGCCAAAAGTGGTCTTTTCTCAATACACACCGTAGAGGTTTTGGTGATTGTGTGCACAAGACTCACTTTTTTCCCCGACTCATCTTCCGATCTGGCATTGCAGGTCCGCGCGCGCGAAGCTTCCCGCGATCTTGGTCAGAACGAACACAGAAGCACTCTCAGCTCATGTCGCTGTATTTCCCTGGCCCAGTGATAACCGCGCGCGATGTGATGTAATCGACAGGCAAATTCCATATAACCTCGTGCTATCGCGGCCTTTCTGTCTTTTCGCACGGCTTGCGAGCTTTTGTCGCCGTGAAAACCTTCGCAATCCCGCAGAATTTAACATTTTTGAGCCGTCAGATGAGCTCTGAAAACAGCCTTTGAACTTTACGTGCGTTTATTGCGGAGTTTTCCATATGAAACACATTTAGATATTCCGGAATCACATATTAATGCGATATTAATCGCACATTTGTATCACTAATAGATATGACGATTAGCAGTCACTTGAGGCGAGAGTTATTGAATAGACAGAACAACTCGACTGAAGTGTATTCTCTACGGAAATAATCTGTGCCGACTGATAAAGTGTGGTGAAGTGCGCAATTGAAACAATCTTAATTTCTATACAAAGACTTTCTCCGACTTTTCATTTATGAAAAAAGTGTATTAAAAAATCTTTATCGATTTCCTGAAATATCTTGACTTTTAATTTATCATGGCTTTTAAAAGATTCTCAATTATTCAATCATGTTTGTATTACAGTGATCTTTAAGATACGTGGAGTTCAGTAAACAGTTTTTTTCTTCATTAATCTATCTAAAAATAACCTTTTGCGTGACGAACCAGCCATTTTCGGACTAAAACTCTCTGACGTTGGATTGTCTCTTCGGGAAACTTCCTGACCACCCAAACAATGGCTGTGCGTGGGAAAAAGAGGCGCAGAATGAGCTTTTTCTTCTCCCTAATTGAATTTTCCTCATTATCAAGCGCCTTTCCGTGGTGCTGATTTATTATTCATCTTCATATTACTATTATAGGGGTTTTGTTTGCTATTTGTTTAATTTATAAACATCAATTGCGTGATACTATCGCGGTCATGGCTGCAGCTAATAATAATTCGTTGGCTCCCTCTCGCTGTCATGTTTCTCTACACACTTTGGATGGTGTGCGCTTGGAAGAAGAATCACTTAATTTTCTTCTTCTTTTTTCCCGCCGCCAAAGGTCACATTGCAAACTATCGAGAGCTCTCTAGTTTTGTACATATGTTGATTTTTTTTGCTCCTACGCGGACACCGAGAAATTGACCTCTATGTGATCATTTCTGCTCTTGAAAAGCACACACGTGAATTTCTATTTGACCATAATTGGACGCAAATTTAATTTACCAATTCATTTCCCATCTGTGTCGAGTGACCAACACAGTTTCAGCCAACTTCCTCGTGTTTTCAGTGAATTTTTCCCACTATCGCGAAATCACTCGTTCAATGTGAAAATCATGTATGATAAACCTCTGTGTCGTGGAGATAAATGTTGTGATTTTCATGTTTGTTCTTTTCTCCTGCGGTGGAAAATATTCACTCAAACACACAGAAAAACAATCACATAAACTTACTTGTGGGCATTCAATGGAGAGACAAGAAGAGTCCAATTAAACACACCAAAAATCTTTGAAGCTCCAACTGAAATTGCTAATTCAATATTAATCACTTAATTAAATACGTGGTAAAGCTGCGGTGCAATTTAAATTATTCATCATGAAATATCCGAATATATTTCACGAAAATGGGCATGACTTTCCAAAACATGTCGGCATTACAGCCAGCAATTTCGCTAATCTCATTGGGAGTCTAATTGAAAATGCACATCATTTGGCCTGAGTTAGTTCAGCCCAAGCGTAATATTTATTCAGTGCCCAACGTGAAAATGAAGCGGTTTTAAGGGATGGGAACACACTAAGCAATTACAGCGGCATTGCAATGAGTTTATAGGCTTTCACAGTTTTATTGAGAGTGCAGAGACTGTAAAATGGGCGGGACATTTGAGTGGGCGGAGCTAGAACACAGAATACTTTACCTATTCGCCTCCAGGTGATCGACAGTGCGAGAATTAAATTCAAAACAAAACGACTTCCCATCAACTGACACCGATCTTCCTTCCATTTCAACTCAATCTGCAGGAAGTAATCATTGTAAATGCGCTCATGAAGCTCATAATTGCCGTGTACATGAAGCGATCGCAATTCCAAGTGTCACGATCGCGACTTCTCCCCAAATTTTCCGCCTCATCACCCTGTCGATTGGGGAAAGAGCGCGCACTGGGTGTGTGTGCGCGATCCACCTGAATGAGTGTGTGACGAGCTTCGATTTTCTGTCCAATAAAAATTGTACATTTACACAATTGCACAACACATGCACGAGAGAAAGAAATGTGTTGCTCGTGTGAGAGAGTGATGGAATAAGCTCCAGGACCGGATCAATCAGGTGCGATCCTCGGCAGGGACTCAGCAAGAAGTGCCACAAGATGCATTCAAAGGTGATCTGCTGGATATTTTTCTAGGAATTACATTGCAATGCTGATGGGAAAAAATGCTGCTCGCTGTGCCCAATTTGGCCCTGTTCAATCGACTGATTCGGGTTCCAGCTAAAGGCGGCAGCAGCTCGAGCTGGCCAGGTATTCAAGTCTCGTTTCCATTCAGGTGTGTTATGTGGTCTTGGATTGAGTAACCGAATCCACAATTTTTCCTCTGCCCTGGAAAAGTGTCGCTTTCGCAGCCCTTTTTGTATCTCAATCTTGTGGATTTGTGGCGTGCAGGAGAGGGAAAGAGATTTGTGCTTGATGGGATTTTGGGACGGTGTTATAGCCATGAAATAGAAGTTGCAAGAGCGAGAGTAAGCGAAAAAAACGGCCCAGACGACAGAGAGAGAGAACGTGTTTTGTGCTGTTAATCTTGTTTTTTGACCAACTGAGAGGAGAGAATATTGTCTGTGAAGTGCGGAGAAGAACAAGATCACAAAAGGAGCGAGATTCGAGTGAGTCAGTTTGAGAACGGACACTGTGCAAAAAGGGTGCGTCATCGGGCACAATTTAGACCATCTTCACCTGCTGTGTGTGTGGAAAATTGCCTGTGATCGTCAAAGAGTGGAGAATCTGTGACAAAGTGGCTGGAAAGAATTCATTATAAGATTCTCACATAGTGAAGCTGCGCGGCATATTTCTGGTCCAGCATCGATCGCGTGCCCGAGCATTAAGTGAATGTGGCCCTGAGTGGACGGTGTGTGAAGAAGAGGCAAAAAGAGGTGAAGATCCAGAGACGAGCTCACAATGTCAGCGGAAAGTCAGCGCAGTGCAGAGGCTGTGGAGGCGCGAAAGAAGCCACGCGTGTGTCATGTGGTGAAGCGCGAGGACTTCGACGGCTATGGCTTCAATCTGCACGCGGAGAAGGGCAAGCCGGGCCAGTACATTGGCAAAGTGGACGAGAACTCGCCCGCGGAGATGGCGGGTCTGCGCCAGGGCGACAGAATCATCGAGGTGAACGACGTGAATATCGGCACGGAGACGCACAAGCAGGTGGTTCAGCGCATCAAAGCCAATCCCAACGAGGTGAGTTCAATTGATTGTGATCTCAGAACAATTTGCAGTGTCTCTCTTTCTACCCATCGAAAAATCGCGCGCCGCACAATTTGATCTAACAGTGAAAAACAAGCTGTTCAATTATTAAGTTCTTTTTTGTGTGCGAAGAGCATTTTGTCCCCAATTAAATTGGGGCTTTGGCGAATTCAATTGACAATGTCAAAAATAGCTTTGCGAATTGTGATATTGAGAATTGGTGGGGACAAATCATAGGCTTTCGGCACGGAACAGCGCAAAGTCCAAGTTTTTCTTCACATTTGGCGCGTCCATTTGGACAAAAATCTCATTCAACAGCAGACGATTAATTAGGCCAACTTTTAACACCGATCGTGGAAATGTTTTGTTCCGCTCTTATTCAGTGCAAAAGTCTAATGTGGGCTTTTTGCTGTAGTTTTTGAAGAGATGTTTAACCATTAAAAGTTAATTACATTAAGTCAAATTATTATGTATTTTTGCGTTGAACGGCGAAAAATGATTTTTATTCTGGACCAATTAAATTGATTTCAGGCTAAGAAGTAGCTTTAAATTTAAAATTCTGGAACTATCGGATTTTGTTGATACTGGATTAACTGGAAAACTCTCACAAAATTCAATGTACCATCTTGACTCTCATGTCTTCAAATGACGCGCCCCTTGATGTAATGAATTTTTAGATAATTGAAAAAACCATTCTGTAGTCAAAAATGCAAAGTGGAATTTTATACATTCACAAGAGAGTTTTCCATGCACTTTCGAGAGAACTCCGCTCGGGAAAGTATTTAATTTGCCTTTGATGGCAAAATATGGGTCAAAGCGAGCTCTAATGAATTAATCCAAAGACTCATAATGCATTCATTAGGCACCATTTTTCGGTATTCTCCGCTACAATTAGCCGCTGGAGAGTGCTTCTAATGGGGGCTCATGAAATATTGAGAGAGACGCGCGCTCAGAGACTCATCTCGACGGTTGTTTTGCAGGTGAAGCTGCTCGTTGTGGACCCTGAGGTGATTGAGGTGACCAAGGACAATCAGATTGTCACGGGCAATGAGTCAAATAATAGCGACGCGAAGGAGGAGAGCGTCGAGAAGCAGGAAGTGGCCGTGGTGGAGGAGGAGGAGGTGAAGGCGCCGGAGGAGCACAAGAACCACGAGCCTGCGAGTCCGCCGGCTGCAGTGAAGACGCCGCCCGTGATCAACAACAGTCCCGAGGCGAAGAAGTCCACAACCAACGGCACAACTCCCAAAGCTGACAACGCGTCCGTGAGCAGCGGCGGCTCGGCGTCATCACGCGAGAGCGGCGGACTCAATCTGCAAATGACTGCGGCCGAACTGAGGGCGAAGTTGGCCGCCCGCAAGAAGTACGACCCCAAGAGTGAGACGGTAGATATTAAAAAGAAATTCGACATCATCCAGAAGTTGTAGATCGTTGGACTCGCATTAAGATCGCCGAAATTACTCTTGAGTGGATTTTCACGTGTTTTTCCTCTTCTTTCCCCATCTGTGTACACATAAAGAGAGAGAAGAAAAAGCACACCCCCGGAAAAATGCACAAAAGAGACCCTTAATTTCAGGCGCGCTGCAAGAAAAAATTGCAGCAAGTGAAGAAGAAGAAGAGTGATGGAAATTATGTAAATATATGACAGAGTTAAGAGATGAAGACGTAACAGAATCACACGAGCAAAGAAAGTTATACGCTGAATACGGAATGAAGAAGCAGAGGAAATATGAGAATTTGTGTGTAACAGAAGTAAAAAAAAATATGATTTTCTTTTAAATTAATTATAGATTGTGCCATTCGAGAGTTGTATTCGTTGTATTGAAAAAAAAATTGCAGAACTAGAGGAAAAATAGCAAAATTGCGGAAAGAGGTGCGGTAATCATGTGCAAAAGCATCGGTAATTAATTTGACGAAAAATAAAGTGTCTATAAAAATTCAATGTTATTCTGACTGCGGCCTTTTCTCTGCGCAGCTGGGCAAAAAAGAAACACTTAGAGTGGATGCTCAAGGCTGCATCTTAGCGCTGGCTGATGAGAAAGACTCGCGCTCGTGGTGGGAATATACGTAATTTTAATAATAAATTAGTTACATGATAATAAATACTACATTTTTTCATCTCCTCTTACAACTATTATTACTTCTCAACATTTAAATATTCTGTCTTTTGCCTCACAAAATTCTACCTTGACTTTTTTCATACCTACAATTTTTTCTTATTTATATATATATATATATAAATCGAAAAAGGAGATTTGCGCTAATTAAAGATCAAAAAATTTTACATCCTTCCCTTTTTTCTCTTTTCATGGGTAAACGAACAACTTCCGTCCTCATTTTTCATTCTCTTTTCCGAAAGAAAAACAGACTGTCATCGGCTACAACTCTGTCACTGGCGCTTAATCCGTAAGAGAGAAAACCCCCATTAAATAAAGTCTATAAATGTGACAAGCCAAAATCTTGAGAATTATACCTCCATAAAGTGGTCCTAAGTGCAATTTTCATACACACAATATATTCTCCCAGTTGAAATTACCAACATCTCTCAACGTGCGGCCCTCTTGGCGAGGAAGTGGGCAAAATTGTGGGTTATATTGCAAAATAATGACGTGATCTCAATCATTTGAAATTCATTCTCATGCACAAGGACATTATTCCATTGAATCGTCAGCTAATTTGCAGAGTTGGAATGCAGAAAAAAGAGAGAAGCTTGAAATCTCGCAAATTCATATCTTGCTAATTGTCCTAATTATTTCGCTAAATCTCCGCGGGAATTTGCGAGAATGAGTCCGTGATCTTTACCGTAATTAGTCAGAAGTGACTTCAGTCGAAAAAAGATTCACTCGCTGAGCTTTCGCAGTATTCAATAGAAGTGAATTTATCAACAAATGCTAATCATTCGAGGGAAAATGTCAATTGACAGACGCTGGAGAGAATTTTACGCGCAGCTGTGAATTTCAAGGTGATTTCGCGATACACATAAATTGATTGTCCAAAGAAATTATACACAATTCGATGTAATTTTGACATAACGCAGGGTTTCGCCAAAAGGCACTTTTATCGCAAATTCATTAAAATCTTGTTGAAAAACTTTGTATTTGAAACATAGTAAAGTATAAAATAGCCGAAATTAATTTCAAAAACTATCAATTTATCAACTTTCTTCGATGGGAATAGCTTTGAACTTAAATCTGGGACTGGTTGTGATAGAGTGAAAAGTAATTGCTTCTCTATGAACACGAATAGTGACGTATTCATTCCTTAGAAAAATTACATTCTTCAAGACTATAATTGTGGTGTAAAGAGATTGTTAAACACTGCAATCTTTCGGGGAATCAGTTACAATGCACAATTTGAAAACACTTTAAATGTAAATAAATAGTATATCGCTTTCACCTGTGAAAAGTCACTCAGTGCGCGTAATTCATCGGCAGCAATTGTCTTATTGCCGTCAATTGAACGCACCTGTAAGAATTCCACCGACAGCCCGAAAGTTTTCGTGCAGAGTGAAAGTATTTGCATTTCTGAAGAAGTCACTTTGAATGTGCAACACGGAAAGAAATTGCTCCGTGAGACGTGAAGAAATCAGTCAGTTTGGCGCGAATCTGCTGAATTATGCAAAGTCTCCAACTTCAAATGCCTCGACATCACGTCACACTCCATGAGACCCTGTATTTTTACATGAAATTTTATCACCGCGCAGTGATTTTCTCGCGTAAGTCTAATTGGTTAGTCAAATGAATGTCTCATCTTCTCGTCTGGTTTGTTATTTTTCTTTGGGTTTTCTTGATATCCCGGATGAAGCGGAGGGGGAGAAAAACATGGAGTTATTTGGGAAAGAGACAACGTCTTAAACTATCATTATGCCTGTCTTCTGCGGCTCTTCGTATGTGTCTTTTGCAGATTGATAAGCAGTATTAGGAGAAATCAAGAGTGGTTTTTTCCTGGGAATTCCAGTGTGTCTGTTTGCGTATTCAAAATACCATCTGCACTCTCCTTCGCGCTCTCGTCGTCTCACTCACTCAATCGTGTCACTTCTTTATCGTTTTGGTGATAATTGAAAAATTCTTCTCCACCCTAATCGCGCCAATACGCGATAGAGCGACGAGCGGCAGAGGAGAGTTCATCGGCGTGTGTATGTGTGTGTGTGTGTGCTTAACCATTTGTCTGCTATTTACCTCAGCGGCGAATTAATTTTCGTTGATGTCCTCGCGACTCCTGGCAATCGGCACCGGCGGCAGCGAATTGTGTCGATATTTGGCCCAAACGACACCGACAGGATTGAGAACGCCGCCAATTTCGCAGTTGACGGTCTTGCTTTTGCCATTAATCACAAAAAGGGCACTATTTGTCAAAGTCACCATGTATTGCCCGAAAAGTCCTGCAAGGAAAGAAGGAGAAGGTAAGGAGACACCGTGTAAATACAAATGTGAGTGAATTTTTTACACACTTCCTGTGCCATCACACCCTCAATAGTCTATCTAAACACGCTTTTTCCCCGCCTGTGTGGGTCAAGTTGAGGTGACGATTTCATCAGAGGCGTAGCGACAAAAAGGTAAAAGACCGTGTGAAAATGCTCCTACATATTCACCGAAGGTCCTAAAGGCTTTCAAATTCCCGCTGAACAAGAGACGCAATGATTTTATTGCTGTTCACGCCAGTTTGAGCGTGTAAAAGGTGTCGTTTATTGGCAAGCAAAGTCCCACCGTCAAGGTAACAAGCAACCACATCTCAAATGCTCTCACTTGTGCTCATCACACAATTCTTTCTGCGCCTCTCCTCATGTTTAATTACCACCCATCTGGCAGTCGCTGTGTGCAATAAATGATGACTTAAATTGACACGAGAGTGTGAGAAAGGCACCTAATATGGCAAATATGGTGGTGTATCAAATTGCAGAATGTATCACAATTGCTCAGTGCGCTAAAGATGAACAAATAATTGGTGCGCGCGCGATAATAAAAATAATACTCCAGCAGAGTGCAATAAAGGGAAAATCCTGGTGTGTAATTTGTACCAACATCCCATAAAGATGATAACACTGGAATTCAACAATGTTGTACACTTTTGTCACCCTCGATTGTGGCACTTTTTTTCTCGCATTCGAATGAAAAATAAACATTTTATGTCACTTTTTTTCAATATTTGATTATTATTCTGCGAGAGTCATTAATACACGTATTAAATGGTAATTGAACAGATGAAATTTGATAGCGCACGTCCCATTCTACACTGTGCAAAGCACTAAAATATAAATTGAGCGATGGTTTGCAAGTGATAATAATTTAATTAAATGCTTGGTTTTCAATAAACCAGCATAAATAGTACAAAAATGTATGAAGCAAAAAATAACTCACATTTACACATCATTAATTAACTTATCTCAATCACTCGTAATGCGCTATTTTTGGACTTATTCCGTTGGTTTGGTAGATAAATTTAAAATTTCAACAGCGAAAATTGTTTACTGGTGCTTTTTTCACATTAATATTCATTGATTTTTATGGGTTTCACTTGTGACATAATTTCAAAGTAAAGTGTTATTTTCAGTTCATGCTTTCCAACAGTCATAAAGTAGCGAAATGAAAATGAAATGAATCCCGGTCAAATGGCCATTTCAATCGGTAAAAGCTTGGACTGATAAATAGACAGCAATCTCTACCAAACTGCAGCCACGAAATATTCAATAAAATGACTGCGCAAATGAACTCACAGAGTATTTATGACAAAAGTTTCGGCGCCTCTGGGCATTTGCCACAAATGGCATTCATGCAATTAATGCTCTTTTCTGTGTTGGTGAAAATTTTGACGCAAATCCTGATGTATTTTTATTCACGCTCGCATAAAACAAATGAGAGAATCAAGTCTAATTTAATGTGTCACTCAAGCAATTACTCAGGTTGTAATTAGCTTTTTATTTAAAGGGTATTTGAGGAGGTTTTCTGATAAGATTCCGAGTCGCATTCCTTTGCGATATGCGCTCTTTATAGTGTCTGTAATCAATGAGGTGTCTCAAGTACGCTGACTATCTCAAACTTTATCAATCTCGGAATTGGATTCTTGATCACACAAAGAGTATAGGACACATTTTAGTAAATACACTATTGATGTTCCTTTGCCTTTTTCAAACCATCCGATAAAGCTGCCAAATTGGCCATCGATATGAGCTCGTCTTTTGCGTCCACCTTTTGCCACACGAAGGCGTGCTCAATGAGGGATTTATGTGGCGACTGTGCGGCTCATTTGCGAGGAAATGAAATCAATAAATTCATTAGGACAATCGCTGGCGCACTGTTGAATGGGCTGTGCGTCATTCGAGACATGGCGCGAAGGGCGAATTGGTGGGTTGAGTGACAATTTACTGATACTACGTGATGGCAATAAAAGTATGAGACGCTTTTACTATTATGGCCACTATTTTGCGAGTAATTCGCCCACCCATCAAATGTCCCAGCGTCAAGAGGGAGGAATCTATTTCGTGCCTAGAAAATTGCTTGTAACTATTCCGGAATGCAGTTGAGGGGCGATAAAGAGGACATTCTTTGTCAAAGAGGGCCATGAGGAAAATGTGAGGGAAAATTGCGTGCTCTTCACTCACCTGAAGACTTAATTGATCGCATCGAATTGCCCCATTTGGCAATTGGCGACGCTTGTTGGAGCAAAGGTGCGCCCGGTCCAACTCCTGTTATCATTTCCACCTTGCCTATTTCACGACGAAGAACATCACTTGATTAGTTTACAACGTTTAACAAGGGCGAATTGCAAGCAGAGATGGACAGTTTACGTGACACTTTTAACAAATGACGAGGGAAATGCTGTACATTTCAACACTTTGTAATAGATTTTTCACATTTAACCCTCTTAAGAACCATACTTTCGAATGCTATGAACCAATTGAAAAAGGAAAATTTACGAATTTGTTTTAAAGCTTTTGCTTTAAAAAGAATCCAATAGAACAATTAATACCATTCTATCTTCACCATTTCTATTTTGTTTGATTTCAACTTCACCTCACGTCGAAATTGACTTGATTTTATGTACTTCATGTCTTTCAAATAGGAGGAATTAAAAAACAATAAAAGCTAAATCCATTTAGATTGATATCATAATAAATTCTCTCTAATCCCTTCTATTATCCTAATTGAAAATGGAAAAACATGTGGATTTCTCGTTAAATGAGGTGGAAAATTAAATTTCGCGTTTCAGTGTTGATTTCCCCGAATGGAAACCCTCTTTTCTACACGCGGCGTGTAAACAATAACCTCGGGTCATCATCTCTGCTCGCACATGCCAAAAACAGGAAATACTGCCTACCTGAGTCCAAATTCAAATACAGGATGTCCTCTTTGTCACTGGCGCTAGCAAACAAGTCGTATCCATGCGTCGTTTGGCTCTCATAGAACGTTGCGTCGCTGATGTTGAGAGTGGTTTTCACATCGAACGAGAATTGGAGGCCACTCGATGTGATTTGCTGGACTGTAAGCGTCGTGCCGGCATTGTTCACGAATGTACTGACGATGTGTCTGGAGTTGGGCGAGATTCGTGCCACCCCGTGAATGGCGGGCTTCGTGCCCATCACGGAGTCCGTGAGATAGTCGAGGATCAGCTGTCCGCGCCAGGTGTTGGTGTCTGGCTCGATGCAGGCGATCACCACGATGCCGTAGTAGGCGGAGAAGGTGACGGAGTAGGGCAGACAGGCGTAGGACGACAGGTCGATGTAGCGAACGTAGTGGAAGGTGTTGAGGTCGATCTTCTGTAGGCCCATCGTGTTCTGGTGCGTCACGTAGCCGTAGTTGAAGGCGTAGTTGAGCGGCTCGAAGTCCGCCGTGGGCACGAAGAAGTCCCTGATCACCTCCGTGTCGCTCTTCATCTGCGGATGCGTCGCCTGGTGGCGCTTCTTCTCGCCGGCGTCGCGGATGACTTGCAGGGTCTTGGAGTAGGGCGTGTCCGGGCGGCGCCAGTTGAGGATCCACACCTGGTCCAGATGAGGCACATAGTGAAGCTCCACCGGATACCTGTCCGTCGCAATCACGTCCACCACCACCATCTGCAGCGTGGAGATGATCAGTACGCGATCCCTGTACGGCTGGCTCACGTAGATGTAGCGCGTGCCGATGTTGATGGCTCTGCCCCAGGAGCAGCCCACGCCACTCAGGCCGCACACAGTGTCCTGCGTCCCCGGGATGATGTCCGTGCCCTGGATCTGGTGCACCAGCCGACAGGCTCCCGGCTCGTAAATGGCCGCTCCGTACTTGTGAAAGACGAAAAATCGATTCTCCTCGATGAGCACAGCTAGAGAGCGGAGCGAAGGTAAGGAAAATAGTTATTACCATACTCCAGCCCACTCCTCAGGGCATCCCACAGCCCGCGTAATTACACCCCATGCCTCGCACTGAATGGTAAACACAAGTTGCAAGAGTTTAACAACAATTTGAAACAAACACCGGCGTTGAGGAACTTTGAAATATGTGCAATGAGAGTTCAGAATAACGCTCTTTTGTGGGGAAAATCAGGCAGAAATATTGCTGAAAACTTTGCGGAAAATCCATGATATTTTCCCAAGACTTAAGGATTCATGTTGCAGAAATTGCTATAGTGTGTTATTTTGAGCAATAAAAAGTTATTGAGGGTGATTTATTGTGAATCCTAAATAAAGGATGGAAAATCTTGACTATTTCTTCAATGTATCTCTCTCTCTCTCTCTCTCTCTCTCTCTCTCTCTCTTTGTCTTAAGAGATGTACTAAGAGTAACCGAAATTATACATTGGCACTGCTCACGATGTAATTCCCGTGAAATGTGATTGTAGCGAAATAATTCCCTTATAACTATTCCGTGTTGGAAGCTTCCCGAGGCATTCATAATCTCGTGAGAAGTTCACTCTCGAAGCTACTTAAAATTCAGTGAAATTCCTCAGCGAAACTCTGACAAAATATCCCACATTCTTCTGTAATATTCCCAAATATTTCACGCTCAATTGTAGGTATTTCTCATTTTGGGCGCATCACCCCGCCCACAGTTGTAAGACTCTCCCCCCCGGAAAGTTGAATTGAATGCGGAGTTGGGGAGGAAATTCCATGATAAATTACACCTCATCTAAAAATGTTTCTCCCCCGCTTCGCTTTTAAATTTTTTATGTGACAAACACGTACTTGGAGACTCGTCCTCCTGGACAATCAACGAACTGATGTCCTTCACTTCGCTCCCGATGTTTCGTGCACGGCACATGAAGGCGCCCGTGTCTGAATAGGTGATGTTGAGGACGTGCAGCGCCGTGCCGTTGCCGATGACTTCGTACTTATTGAGCGTCTCAAGCCTAATGGCCTCATCGTTCTTCAGCCACTCCACGGCCGGAAAAGGCTCACCCGTGACGTGGCAAAACATCTCAGCGTTCTCGCCCAGGCCGCGTGACTGAATGCGTGGCATCACGCGCACTCGCGGGATTGTGTGCACGGTGAGGATGTGCGTCTGCACGACGTCGTCATTGCCCTGCGCGTGACACGTGTAGTTGCCCGCGTGCACAAGCTGCACGTGTGTGAGATACAGACTGCCGTCCGTGAACACGCGGATGTTCTCCTCCACCAGCGTCAGCAGGTCCACGCCGTTCCTGTGCCACACAATCGGCGGCGCCGGGGAGCCCGTGACGTCGCACTTGATCTCCACATTGTCGCCCAGGCGCGCCGTCAAGTGGTTCGTCTCGAGCACCTTGTCCAGCGACACCACGGACACGCTGTACATCTTGTTGAAGGCCTGGTAGAACTCATTAATGCTCAGGTGACCATCGCGGTTGGTGTCGTCGTACACGAGCATATCGCTCAGGACGCAGCCGGCGCTCAGGTCCTCGAGGTGCTCCAGCTGGTAAAGTTCTCTGAGTTCAGTTGTCTGCAAGAAGCAGCATTTAATCACAAACGGATAGACGATCTTTATTAATGAATGAATATTCACTGTGCTCAATTCTGGTTAAATGTTTAATAAATTATGATATTTGTTTTAATATTACAATCAATTCCAATTTTGTTTTGCTTTCTCGCTTGGGTAGAATTTTAGTATAAATTACAGGCTCTAGAATTTCCATGTTGAGCTAGCGCATGATTTTCCCATCAATACACCCTCATTAGTAACTAATGAGCATCGCTTTTAAATTCCCTAAATTAAATCCTTCTTCATCCTCACGGCAATGAACAAAAATTATAGGAATGAAATAAATTTGCGTAAACAACTAAAACTGATGAAGACTTTATCTAAAGAGCACTAGAACATTCATACAAAAGTACTCTTGAAAATAAATTCAATTAAATTTCTTGATCTGTAGAAAATTGAAGCTTCGAGCAATTGGATGATATTTGAAAATCTCATTGCATGGATAGAAAACTTTGTAAAGTTTTAGGAGGTGAAATGTTTGAATTACTTCAATCGGCACAGAAAAGCTCGTGCAAGTTTTGAATGTTCAAATCCGTGACGACTTCAAGTCTTAATACGTGTGCTTTTTCTGATGGAAATGGATGTTTTCCTGAGAAGGAAATCAGACGCATCTTTTCGGTATAATTATCGTGAATGTGTAAACTTTCATTTAGTCGTGACTCGAGAGCACAAGAACTTTCCCTTTGGTTGGGGAAAAGCTATAAAACTTTCGTACTAAAACACAAATAAGAGCAAATTTGTTAGAGAATGTTCTCATAGAACTTTTCAAACATGAGTTTTCATCTCTTTCACGAATGCAATATTTGTCGCTGAATACATATTAACATTAAGCGGTGCTCTCAAGTGTTGCAATTTACCATGAATGACTGTGAAAGAAAAGAGGTTAAGTGCCGCGAACGCTTGATAATTGATGAGAATTAATTGATAAGCATCTTCAACTTCTCACCCGCACAGTTTGTGAAATCGATTATTGACTCCCGCTCTTGAGCGAAACTTTGCGGAATTGACAAGTTAAGGGATCGCGCAACAGATAATGGAATTAAGTCATTTGGAAAATCTACCAATTTTCTACACTAATTGCTCTTCTCCGACATCCCAAGAATCATGGCTAATTTTTCGCTTCGCTGCAATCTTCAGCACAAATCAAATTAGACCAATAGCACAGCGCAAGAATGTGGACGAAAAGATTGATGAATTACTATCGCGCTCAGCTTTGACGAGCCAATGCTTTTTCCATGCTCCAGAGATATACATATTACAGAGTGTATAATATGTATATGGGTAAAACTTTTAATTTCAATCTCGTGTTGGGAAAATTCCCCAAGAGTTGCCAAAGTCTTAAGCAGCTCAAGAGGGTGAATCTCAAAAGAAATGCTACATTGCAGAGAGAAGTTCGTGAAAAGAATTTCAATAATAAAGTGGAAATAAAACAAGACAGAGAACATTATTTATTAGACGGCATTCTTAATGGAAAATGAAGAGAACTTAGAGCTTTCATGTCCACAACAGTAATTAAAGTTTAGTTTGCAACACTTTGCAGAAATGAAATGGAAAATCACTTCTCTAGCATTCGAAATTAATGTATTAATTTAGGCATTAAAAGCCTCGGATTTGTCACGCATTTTTAATCCTAAATCTCCACCAAAAATCAACAGATTCAATCTGCGATTTTGCTGCCCAAAAGCATCTCTCTGGCTAAAATGTCACCAAGCGGAAAATTGATAGACATTCTCCATGTGCATGTGAACTGTAAATTGATTTTCATTTGCGTCACTCCTTCGTCGACAATAGAATCTTCATATCTGCAAACATTTTCACCTTTTGCCCGCATCGCGAGCTTTCCGCTCTCGGCGCGGCTTACAATCCTGCACACAGCGTCACACATTTCAGTTCAAACTTGAATCGAGTAGGATTAAAACTCCCGCACCAAAGTTCAGGCTTTTTATTGTTGCGGGAAAATAAACTAGAAAGCCCGTGAAACATAAATAACATGGAATCTCTCGCAAGTCCAATCGATTTTTTTCCTCCTTTACATTTTATTCTTGCATCGCAGAGTTTATTTATTTAGCAGAAAAATAATATACTCTGTGTTTTTAAAGGTGCGCACGGAAATATTCATCATATTGAACTCTTGAGCAAATCAAATCAACTCATGAAGTACGCTTCGAATTCAGGGAAATAATTCAGTTATATAGCATATAAAGACGCGACTTTCTATTTTCCATCCATCAGCAATATTAATGAGGGGGAATTTTCCAGGACAGCTTTCCAAAAATAGAATATATTTTTTTCAGTTTTTTTTACATAAATTGTTTATTATTTTGAAGAATGTTTTGCAAATTATCGCCGCATATATTTATTATTCAAGAGCAAACCAAAAATAATTCATAATTCATTCTGAAGAGGCTCAAACATGAAGCTTAAAAGCTTCATTACTATAATATGGATCGATAATTAATAGCAGTATACGGAAAATTATATTTCAGGTTCGTTTAAAAATAACTCCCAAATTACTTCAAACACTGTGAATTTAAGGAAAAACAATTGATTGATAAATTTTCTTATTATATAATGGATTATATACTTCCATCCCTTTTCCTTTGAGTTGTTTAACCCCGATAAACCAAGATAAGCCATGGAAAAATGGTTTTTCACATTGCTGTTCTCCTCAGAGATTTCCAGATAATCAGGACAAAATGTTTCCCTTTGACATATGTAGTAATGAAAGAGATTTCCGACTTAGAACTCACCTCCAAGTGGCCATTGTTGTTCTGATCGTAGTGGGAGAACATGATGGAGACCAGGAAGTCTCTGCTGTGGTTGTTGTCGCTGGAGATGAGCCTGGCGTGGCTGTAGAGCAGCAGGTTGTCCTTCATGATCTCGTACTCCTGCGGCGAGCACGCACTGGGCGCCCTCGTAGTGACCTGACGGCAGAAGTCCGCGTGCTGCAGCGTGATTTTCCTCTCCTTCAGGCACGACATCCGGTGCATCTCGCAGTGGTTCTGGTACACTTCGCCGTCGGAGCCGCAGACGGTCTTCTGGCGCCTGGGGCAGAACCTCTGGCACACGCACTTCGCCATCTGGTTGGCGTCCACCACGCACTCCTGGCCTCGGCCGCAGTAGTGCACGAGGCACGGATCTGGAAGGGTGCGCAAGAGGTAAGAATTGGGGCTCAGGGATTGGGACTGGGCTGCCTTACTGCTGGCGATGAGTTGACTGACATCGACGGCTGGAGGTCGCTTTCCGGACATTTCGAGCTCGTCAAAATGGAGCTCTGGCGCCCCGGGAGAGCACTTTGCGACGCCAAGGAGGACACTTAGCACTGCTAAACTGTGTAAACACATAGCAAGGACCATTGACGGGGAAGTTCTGCTGTTGGTGCACATTTTGGACCACTTTCACCCACTTTTCACGCGTCCCTTTGACGGAGTCGTCAAGGGATGGGAGCACAATCGATAAATTCTCCTTCGAATTCCACCCTTTGTTCCGGCAAACACCTCGAATATCTCAGCACAAATTGTGGGTACAGTGGAATATTTGCTCTCTCTAGTGAATATTAATTAAATTCCACTGCCTCCACACATTGGGGCCACACACTTGGCAGCTCTTTCTCCCTCACCACTGAACCTATCTGGCGATACACAGTGGCACACGGACAGGTCTGGTCAGGACGAGTGCGATGGCAGGACTAAAAAGGAGTCGTAATTTGATAATTTCACTTGCGAGGGAAATTATTTATTGATAGTGAGTGAGAATGAAATAGAAATTAAATAGTTCATCCCTGTTTTTCCATCCGCGGCCCCGCACATGCGCCCCAGCCGCCCTTCGGCTGCCCCGAAAACACTCTGCTGGAGTGACAGGGACGCAACACAAACAGACAGGTCTCTCATGAAATATTCGACTGTTGTGATGCAAGGGAGGCGCAGTCACGCACCTCTTCACCCACACCCTCATCATTAATTCACCCCGTCAGCACACCTCCAACTGCCCACCTGCGGAGGAGCGACCAGCCGGCTGCGTGACTCAGCAGCGAAGGGGCGCCGTATTTGGTCGATGAACCACCGAGAGGGGAGCAGTTGAGATTCCTGGATTCACAAAAACTCCCTCAACTGACCCTCATTCTCAGCGAGGGCGATTTTTTCAAGAAAAGCCTAAAAAATACATTTATCCAGTTAGAATTATCGTGAATCTTCCATGAAGCGCCGACGTTTTGAAATCTCCATGGTTTGTGTCCTGGATATACGTAAGAATTTTTTTTGATATTTTTCAAGAATCTTCATATCTGAGAAATAAATTTCTTGGCTGGTCAACCCATCTTTTGGTGATACAATTGACCCCAGTACCGTAAGAGAATCCAATATGAATTAATTCCCATCATTCTTATCTCTTACTGGAAACGGTGTATTTTTTACAGTGTAATCCTATTGGCAAAGCGAGCGTTCGTAAGTTCGTCAGTGTGGTGAATTTGGGCGCTTACGTAAAACGTCAGTCTGGTGATGTCTCTGTCAAGTGGAAAACATGTCAGAGCAGTTGAGCTACGAAATCCACAAATATTCCAGCTACTCCACGTCCTATCTGCCTGAGTAAGTATCCTACCGGCTGCCCTGGGCCGCCCTGCGCCCATTGCCAGGGCAATCCGGGCGGAATGGCCAGTATTTTCAGCAGAAGCGCGCGAGCAAAATCGCGCCTTTGGCAATTGAGTTTGTGCGCAATATTGCCGCCCGTAACAAGTGGATCCGCTTGACGCTCTTTTCAGGAACATCCGCGAGGACTGTCCCAGCAATCAGACCAGCCGATGGTCGTCGAACACCAACAGCCCCCCGCAGTTCCTCACGCTGAAGCTTCAGCGTCCGGCGATTGTGAAGACCATCAAGTTCGGGAAGTACGAGAAGGCTCATGTCTGCAATCTGCGGAAGTTCAAGATCTTCGGCGGCCTGGAGGAGGAGCACATGGTGCTGCTGTTCGAGGGCGGCCTGAAGAATGACACGGTCCCGGAGAGCTTCACGCTGCGCCACACCACGGATTCTGGGGAGTTGCTTCCGGTGCTGTTCATTCAGATCATGCCGCTGCTGTCTTGGGGGCCCAGCTTCAACTTCAGCATCTGGTACGTGGAGCTGCAGGGCCAGGACGATCCCATCTTCGTGCGCACGAGCCTGCAGAACTACAACACGCTGCGCGAGGTGGAAATCGTGCGGCTGTGCCTGAAGCACTTCCGCCAGCAGGGCTACGAGGCCGCCTTCCGTCTGTTGCAGGAGCAGACGAAGGTGCTGCTGGAGCACCCCATGATGTCCAACCTGCACGACGCGCTCGTCATCCGCGGTGACTTCCAGGAGACCGAGCAGTTTATGCAGCAGTGCGTGGACGACGGTCTGCTGGACGCGTATCTCTCGCAGCAGGACTACAAGGCGTCGTGGGAGCTGCAAGACGTGGCGGAGACGGAGAACCGCCCGGGAATGCGCGGCGGGCATCAGCTGGTGATCGACAACCACAGCGGACTGATTTACCTGTACGGCGGCTGGGATGGCTTCGAGGAGCTCAGCGATCTCTGGTGCTACAATATCAAGTCCAACGTGTGGCGCCTCATTCACGCCAACTCGGAGAAGTTCGACGGCCCCACGCCGCGCTCGTGCCACAAGATGGTCTTCGATCCGCGCAGCGGCCAGATCTTCATCCTCGGTCGCTATCTGGACAGCTCCAGTCGCACGAAGGAGCACATCAAGAGCGAGTTCTACCTGTACGACACCACGCACCAGTCCTGGCTGCAGATCTGCGACGACACGAGCCAAGTGGGCGGGCCGCAGCTGATCTTCGACCATCAAATGTGCATCGACGTGGACAAGCAGACGATCTATGTGTTCGGCGGCCGCATCCTCACACCGCGTAACATCGACGACATGTCCAACGATCCGCAGTACTCCGGGCTGTTCTCCTACCACATCGCCACGAACATGTGGACGCAACTGCTGGTGGACTGCGGTCATCCCAGCGCCGCTCACTTCGACGTGCCCAGCATCAAGTCACGCGTCACGCACTCGATGGTCTTCCATCACCGCCACCGCAAGCTCTACATCTTCGGCGGGCAGCGCAACAAGGAGTACACCACGGACTTCATCGCCTACGACGTGGACGCTGGCGAGATGAACGTGCTGAGCGTAGACTCGGGCGCCGCGGGCGAGAAAAACGTGCCGCAGTCGGGCTTCGCACAGCGCGCCACCATCGACTGCGACCGCGACGAAATCTACGTGCTGTCTAGCCTGAGCAAGGACAAGGAGCGCCGCGACTTCAACGTCAACAGCTTGTGGCTGTACGCGCTGAAGCTGAACGAGTGGACGTGCATCTACAAGTGCGACCACTCCACGGAGAACTGCTGCGCCAACAAGAGCCAGGCCATGTGCACGGAGCCCTGTCCCAGGTACGCTCATCAGCTCGTCTACGACGCCACCAACCGCATCCACTACCTCTTCGGCGGCAACCCGGGCCGGAACACACTGCCACAGCTCAGGCTCGACGACTTCTGGGTGCTGAGGCTCGAGAAGTGAGTAGAGAAATCTCAATATTTTAAATGTTTCGCACTAAAAGGATAGAAAATCAACTTTTGCCTCTTTATAATATCTAAATTGTAAGCTAATTAATAGTGAAATGAAGGGTTAATCAGGTAAATTCATACCAAAATTTTCTATTTACATTTCTTAGCAAAAAAACGCGCCTTCGCTTATCTATTCTGGGGATTATTTTATTTTAAAATATTCTCTCTTTCTGCGTTTGAATTCCATCTAGGCCACGAGGAAGCGAAGAGAGCGAGTGATAACAGCGGAATAATTGGCATTGTTTTTTGCAGACCCAGTCGCCAGCAGATTCTGCGTCACTGTAAATATTTAATAAGAAGACTGGAATACGAGGAGATAACCAAGAGTGACCCACTGAAGGCTGTCAATTATCTTCAGACAAGACTGCATGACATTATCGACCACAAGGACCCCGAAGAGCTCAAGGAGGTGCGATTTTGTGGCCTTATCAGCTGCTCTGCGACCGAATTTGAGCGCATTTTTCTCTCTCTCTTTCTTGCAGTTCCACAAGCTAGCTTCGCTGCTCTTCAAGTGCGATGACTTCCAGACGGAGAACAGCAGTCCTCTGATGACCGTGCCGCTGGGCACCACATCAGCCTTCCTCCCGGACAAGGGTGACTCGCCCTCGGGCGCAGCCGCCGCGTCCTCGCCCTCGTCCTCAGCCAAGGCGGACATGTCGTTCAACGTGAAGAACCAGCGCTACTTGCTCTTCAATAAGCTGGTGAAGCTCCTGCCGGAGAATATGGTGCAGCCGAAGGGCAACTTGAGCGACTTCGTCCTCATCTGAGGCGCTCCTCTGCCATGTCTGCGGATCGCGGATATTCATATGCGTTGTCGTGGAAATATACTCGATTTAGGCACACACTTTCGCATACGTTTCACAGCATAATATATTTACTCTCTATATACAATTGCATGTCCTCTTATCTGTGCGTTTTGCGTTGTTCCGTGTAAATTCTTCCTTACAAAAAGTATCCTTGCAGCCAAACTATATAATAGCATGTTCTCGAAAATGCATATTAACAGGAAAGAGTGTAGAAATATCCATCAACAGTGTACATTTTTCAATTTTATAAAATCTCCAGGTTTTAATATATTTTTATGTTTATGTAAAATGCAAAAGTGTTTCAATCACTTCAACTGCATTCACATTTTCGTGGGATTCACTAGTAGTGTGATGAAATAGAAGAATCCATCGTTGAAATTTGAATGAGTTGACAAGCTTCTGTGTCCGCCGCTGGAGAAATCTCGGCGCTGCTAACGGTTGCTCATGTTTCATGAAACTAAATTGAAACGCATTCAAAACGGAGCGGATACAACAAGAAATAAACGTAATTCTACGATTTAGAGGAATTTATTCTTAATGAAATGTTGTTACAATGTAAAAAATCAATAAACCTTACATCAGTACAGTAAAATGTTGCAGCAATTGTGTCACCGCGCGAAAGGTAGAAATTCCATCTGCAACACATGTGAATGGCAAAGATGTTGCGCCACTCCAAGCTTATGTGGACGAACTTGAACTTTTCACGGATGAAAAAAGGATTGCAACTACAGAAAATACCTAGAAGTGTTCTCTATCCATCTAAGATTGTGTTGTAAAAGATATCAAAGTAAATTCAAAGTGTGTGTTGCACTTACAAATCGACAAACCCACAAGTGTGGGTGGAATTGCTGGGATACCCGCGATTGCGGGGAAGAATTACATCACTAAGCTAAACCTTTAAAAGACATTTCTTGTAAAATCACATCAAAAGACTCGAAAACTTACAAGCAACATATCCTAATGAAGCACAAATTGCTTAAAAATTATTTATGAATCGACATTAAGAAGCGAAAAATCTACTGGTTTTCTCTGTTCTTTTTTTCTCCTCATGCTGCTGCTGCTTCAGACACCGTCCAGACGCTTCTGCCTTGCGTTGCCTCATTTCTGCAAAAAAAAAAGGAAAAAGGATTAGCGTTAAAAATGGCGGAATAACAGTTGGTAACATTAGCATGTGAATCATGAATGAAACACTGATCATATGATGGCAATTCTCGCGAGATTCGCTAAAACTCAACCCATAGTGAGGGAATTTTCTCTCTTTCTCGCTCTGTACGAGGGCTGCGACGTCATGCAAACGGGAATAGCGCAATTTATCAGATCTTTGAACTTCCTCCAAGGTCGCATGGCGCAACGCATTGCTCGCCATCTCACTTTCGCACTGCGGTGCGCCCTCTCTGTCACACCCACGCGCAGGAAGGGCGCGAAAGAGAGAGACGGAGATCGCGAATCTAAAAATCCACCAGCGAAAAAAGGTCTCAATTGCCCATTTATTTTGATTGTTGACCAGAAAATTCGTACTTGTGCTGCAGTTTCACTGACCTTCGCTGCTTTTTGGTCAGCGCGGAATGTTTTTGTTCGCTCATCTGGCGTTTCTTTTCCGGCCACACATTGAATTGCCCTCCAAGTGCTTGGAGGAGAAATTTTAATTGCACTCCGATCCTTATCGAGTGGTCTTGGGGAGTCAGCAACAAAAGACACCACGCGGCTTTGTCCGTTAGTTCAAGTTTAAATGAGCTTTCGAAAAGCGCGCGACAAGAGAATCGACATGATCGCGCCACGATCAATTTTTTGAGCAACAAATACCCGCGGAATGAATAAAAGTGTTTGTTTTGCTAAAGAATCCGAAGGTTTTCCATACATCTGATTGTGGGCAAGAGATGACATGGCCATCAATAATCGCAATCTGGAGATCCGCAAGAATGTCCCATCGCTTTAATGCACGCCAATATCTTGTGAGAACCAGAACCACTGGCATGATTGATGCTATCCGTAAAATTTTACCAAATTCATATTATAATGATCTTCACCGCAGATGATAAAATGAAGCATTATGTGCAGATCATTAAAGTCTTTTTTATGTCTTCGCTCCACATTCCTCGGATCGACACTGAAAGTAAGCCAAATTGCGATCTCCAGAGGCTGATTAATGTGGATCACCGCTAATTTCCGAAGAGGCCACCCAAATTAGCATCTATAAATCATTGAAGGTCCAAATTCAATTAGGCTTTCGGAGAAATTGAATGTGGGAAGGCGATCAGAATACCTGTAATTTCGCCTTTTTCAGCTAATATTGTGATTAGTAATTCCACATGTTTCCACATCTTGCTGAATATATTATTATCCCTGATTTGCTTGATTGCCGCTTTTTTCGCGATGACATTCTTTCACATTTTGCAGAGTGGAATTTTTTGTCTGACTCCTATGCGCCCGAGGAAACCGAAAAATTAATATTCCACACTCATTGATGGTTTTCTTTCTGTGATCAGAGTGAAAATTGCCGGGTTCGTCGCTCGAAATGTTCAAGTCTTTTGTCTGTTTTTCCCCCTGTCGTGTTTTTCACTCACCCTTTCGCTTCTCCTACAAGTAGAGCGTTCCCTGGTGTCGATGATCGTGAAACTGGTGCACGTAGAGTTTCTTCTTGGACTTGTCCTTCTGCGGACGCAACTCCCACACCAGATTGGAGAGACTCCGCGGTCGCGAGAGGCGCCGCGTCTTCTTTTCCGGCAACTTAGAGTCGCCCGACGTGCGTCCGCCGCTGCGTGACGAGTCGAGAGTCCCTTCGCGGCCTGCACTGGCACTCTTTGACAGTTGATGACACTTTTCCTGGCTCTTGGGTGTCGTGGAGATCGGAGTGGTCGGATGGGAGTCAGTGTTCAGCTGAAGACTGCTTAAGCTCTTGTACCTACGCGAAGAAGCGCGATTGCTCGATATTAGATCAAGAAAGAATGGATTAAGGAGGGGACTCACCTGATGTGGAAGAGAGGACTCTGCGGCTCGAGCGGCTCCTTTCCGTTTGCGGTGATTACTGGCGTGTTTCCGTTGGGCGACTTCTGGCTGTGGCCGACGCCGTTCTTCACATAAAGCTTTGGTAACGTGGGTCTCTGGCGCTTCTCTGCCAACTTCTTGCCCGGGATTGTCTCGATCGGCGGCGGGATGGGCTTGCCCTCGTCCGAGGGGAAGCTATGGCCATGGTGATGATGGTGGTGGTGGTGCGTCTTGTGCTCCAGACTGTTGCTGCTCCGGTTGATGAGGCTGCTGTACGTGCCCGAATTGTCGACATGCGTGGACTTTGAGATCTCGCTGGTCTTGGACGTGCCGATCGGCGGCTCGTGGATGGCCTCAATGCGCGCCGCGCTCTTCGGCAGCGGCGCGAATCCCCTCACGTAGTCATATATCTGGTCGATCTCATCGTACTCATCGGCAATGGTGCCGTAGTTGGACTGCATGTACTTGGAGGATTCACAGCTGGCACTCTTGCGCAGGACATAGCCGTTCTCTGCACACGTGGTGAGCATCAGTGGCTTCCGGCTGACGCTGTGCTTGGACTCCTTCTTGTCCGACAACTTGAGATCAATCACTTGTAGGCGATCGCGGGCATCGGCCAGCAACCGCTGCGCCTTCTCCAGAAAGCGACTGTACTCGATAAAGTTCTCTAGCTGCTCCATGTTCTTGGCGCGCTGGAGCTTTATCTTCACGTTCAGTGGCACCGACACGAGGTCCGTGTCCTTCTGCAATGGCAGCGCAAACACACGGTCCACCTCCACACAGCCGAGCAGTCGCAACTCCGGCACGAAGGGCGTCTTCAGGCCCTTGGGAGCGCTTCCGTAAACTAACCTGGAGGAGAGGAGCGAGGGGATTAAGCACAGAAGGAGAGTTTGGGCATCGGTCAACCTACCTCACAACTATGGGCATTCTCTTCTGCAGAAGGTTCTTCACAGTGTGCACGCCACTGATGCTGTCCTCCTTTGCAATGGGTGAGAATTTCGCTTTGGCTTCAAGTGGCAGATTGACGATTTCATCTTTGGATGTGCGGCACTGCAAGTACTTGCCGTTGTCGGAGATAGTCGTGAGGATCTCGCCGGCGTGCACGGTCTTGCTGTTGTGGTTGCACCGGAACGTCTCGCGCACCAGCACGCGGAAGTTGCGGCGCTTGGAGAGGTCCAGCACCGTGTCTATGCACCTGGTGGAGCGCCCGTCCTCGCTGAGGAGTTCAAAGTAGCCCTGGTACGTCTCTGGGATGAGCACTTTGGGGCCTGCAAGAGAGTTCACGCGCGCATTGTCACTGTGACTTTGACCGCGATGATCATCGCGCATCGCAAACAATGCGGACAACGACACTCACCGACATTCGTTGTCTTTCTGCCTTCCTTGATCTTGATGGGCTGCGCAAGAATCTGATACTTCCGGCCGGCGTTGAGGAAGAGCGCCGTGCTCTGGAGCGACGGATTGGAGAGCGTGGGCACGCCCAAATTGTGATGCTGCCCCTTGACGATCTTCGCCACAGCTGGAAGTGGCGTCTTGGCGAATTCCCTGGCGAGACACACATGGAAAAAAGCCAGAGAGAAAAGAGGCGATGAGACACGTGAAAGCCAATGGCACTCGGGTTTCACTGCACTTTTATAACAGTTTAGTGCACGGTAATTGCAATTAATGAACATCATTAATCAGAGGCGACGAGATTGCCATCGGGAGAACCGGGAGTCTGTCTGATTGTTCACTTGTATTTATCGCTTCTCTTCCAGCCAATGCTCGGAAGCCGATGCCCAGGACACCGCGCGAGAGGAGGACAAAAAGAGAAATGATATTTAATAGTTGGAAAGAGCGATGGGAGTCGTTCACATATAGTTCCATCGCCTTATCGGCCGCGAGCATCGGGGAAAAGTCAGGGGACTGAAGATTGTTGTTACTTGTCGAGGTGTTTGCTGTTAATTAACTGCCACCCAACGATTTATTTCGTCGTCGATGGAGCGAACAAGTGGATTCTTCGCGTGCATCCCAGCGACTTGCCCTCTTTTTGCCCCCCTTCCTCCTCTTTGCTCACCAGAGCCATCATCTGTCTAACATGATTTAAATCCCATCATCGCATCGCCACGTATGGCGAGACAATGCCATGCCCAGGAAAAGCACAATCACAGCATGGAAAACGTGCTAATTGTTCCTACAATTGCGCTTCAGCGATCTTTCTGAAAAAAGGTTCACACACAATTGCAAAGCACTCTCTTTCAAAAACATCACAATTAGTGATTGTCTCTCACGCATCCACTTTTCCTGCCATTGCAAAGGTGCTCCTGAAAACATCGAGAGTCTCTCAAGAGATTGCGCCAATCTCAAGATCGCCAGAACAATTGACAGGTGACTAATTGTATTGATATCGCGCTGATAATGTTTTGCAAGGCATTGAGAGATAACGCTGGCGCCGAAATATTGACGATTGCTTCAGAAATTGGAACATTGAGTAAACCTGAGATAAACAATTTTAGGTGTAGGTCATAAGAATTAACTGCAATAGCGAAAATATATTTTCTCAATATATTAATTGCACAAAGTTTACTCAGAGCGACACTTGAGAGTATCTAAAATTTGATTTACTGTTCCTAAACACTGTGACAGTGTTAGAGGTCAAACAACCGTTTGCAAGATTGCTGATTCTTGGAAGATGCATACAAACTTCCGCACGCCAAAGCGCAACTGGGAAGCAGTCCACTTAATTATTTGTCTATTCACACCACCTTCACGCTCAAGAGGTGCCAAATGCCTGCGTGAATTTTGCACAGAGAAAGCCACTCTTGCAACTTTCCGCGCTGACCTCTGTTGACACGCAGCGCCATGAGGAAAGGCAATGGAAGTCCATATTTGCATATGAGAGGCAAATTGAAATTTAATTAATGTGACAAATAATTGACGAGGCGAAGAGGAACGCGAGAAGCGGCTTGTGATCACATTCTTTGTTGCCACAGTGCAAGAATGCGACACTAATTTGCGTAGATGTGGCATGAAAATTGCTTGCTGGCGACTCGATCGCACGCCATTGTGTGCTTCGGGGGGCGTGCGTGGGTGGGAACTACTGGTGTGTGACGCGGCCCCATTCCTGCTCAGATCACTCCTGGCCAAGTCTGCGACTTCTGGAGCATTTGCATTCCGTCGTCATTGTTCGGCAGCCAGAAGAAGTGGCATTAGAATTAACCGCAATGGCTGGAAAAAGCTCAGTGGCGAATTAACGGATCGCCGTGTTTACGCACAGATTCACGATCTGAATGTGTCACCTAATTGGGTTGTCCAGCGCTCATCCATATGCAAGAGCCGCCATAGAGAGGCTTCCTCAGCCTCTTTAGTCGCGCTCAGAGATGGCAAACTGCGTGCAGAGGCCACGAGAGTGGTTTCAGAAGCGAATGCAATCAATCAGGAATCTCATGAATTACGACTATCCGCAGTATTTTATTATTTTATTAAATTATTGCGAATGTCGGGAAATTGATTACGGCCACGGGAAGAGTCTCGAGGCGAGCCGAGAGGGAGAAAGAGAGAGAGTCTCTGGGCGTCTTCAGACACTGTATAAATACAGCCCGGCAAGAGTTGGCTGCCTGAATTAATTGCAACAGAAGAAGATGAGATTTTGATGAATGATGCCTATGAGTTCCCCTCGAACCGCAACTGCGTCAAGAGAGAATCCACTGGGAATCTCCAATTTATGCAGAAAACTCAGGTGGTTTTATTCTCTGCTTGATTCTCTGTGACTCACACGTCGACTCAAGACATTTTACGAGTATATTTTCCTGGCTACTGTTCAACTTGCTGGTCAGTTGCAAGAATAACGATTTTTTCCCTGGCAAGACTACAGAAAATTCACACTCATACCGCTAAAAACCCAAGAGTTTACGCAGAATTGACATCGCGAAAGCAAGACTCATCGACTAACAATGCAAGAATAAAAGAAGAAAATCTGCTTTTGCACTCAAAAGTCTGGATTCTCTTTTGTAAATGATATTTTTAACTAAAATTTCAACCAAATGCCTAAGAATAAACACCACAAATACAGATTTCGTATTAAGATAAGCAATTTAATCGTATGTTTCTGCTAATCATTCCCTCCGTCTTGAAGTCTCTTTGCTTACAATATAGCTCTGAATATTCCACTCATCGTCAAGTGTTGGGCAACACTGGCAGATAAATAATTTCATACAACATTGTAAGGATTGTAAGGCAAACTGCTATTGAATGGGACGCTTAATCGCCCCACCTTCCGGATGTCTTTATCCACGGTGCGGAGCCAAAGTGTGGGGAATCCGATGGAAACTTCCACCCTTTCCATAGCCGAAGAATTCTCCTTTTTCACGTGAGTATGAATAAATTAAGGGCGGCAGAGTCTTTTGTCGTCACGACGAATAGACAGAGTTTAGTTGAGAATCCATTTATGAATATTCATCTTCTGTTGCGTCTTATTGCAATTGCCAAAGGAAGAAGAGAGCAAGGTGGAAATTTTTCAGTCACTTCCAATGGAAATTGCTGATAATAATGCGAAGAAAAAGAGCAAAAACCAATTTGACTGCGCTCTTGAGCCACTATTCAGAGCCTCCATGCACTTTACCATCATCAGGCGAGTGATTGACTCGACAATCTACTTACAATAGAAAGGATTTTTAGTGCATTTACCCTCATGTAATTGAAGCATGTTTCATCAATTTGATCGAGGCGCAGAAATGGTAATTTCTGAAATTCCATCTCCTCTAGACTGCGACTCCCAAACGCGCCACAGGGCTTCTGCTGCCTCTCCGTATAGTGAGAAAAGTTCGCGGAGTAATGACTGAAGATGCGCCGCATTGCATTGTATGCTAATTTCGGCTAGGTTTCACCAGTCTGCCGGCGAGCAGAATGCGCGGAATTTCGCCGACGCCAAGGTGAAAAAAGGGAGTGTGATTAATTCCCATTGAGAAGTTTGGCGCCAGAGAATTCGCAGATAAGCAATTTCCACCCCTCCGCGAAAATCCCTCGGTGAACTCTCTAATTAACCCTCGCCTTGGGTAATTACAGCGCCATTGCCTGACTATCGTTAATGGGATTATGTGAGACGCTCCCAGGCGCTCTTCCAGCGGGTCACGACACACTTTTTCCGCCGCGCCATCTTCAGCCTTCTCGCGCTTCAGTGCTCGGAATGATCACCAGAGTGACCTCAAAGGTGGGCTTCTCGCGGCCTTTGTAGTGGCTCTGCAAACTTGCAAGTTCAGGTATTTCTGTGCTGATAGAAACATAAACACGCCCAATTTTCCAAAAATAGGCGAAATTTAGCATAATTTTAGCCTTAGCATGACCAAGAATGGAGCGTTTTAGTGCTGACCAACCCATTTTTCCTCTATTGGTTTTCTCCCGCACTGCATTTCATTCAATTTCACTGAAGCGGGTGTGGTTTGGCTCAAAATTACACTTCAACCCCCATCGACTGGGTGGCTGTTAAGCAGCATGTAATCACACTAATGGCTCGCGACCTCGGAAAAGTTCTTGTGCAAAATGCATGTGCGCAGAAAAAGAAGCTGGCACGAGAGGAAAAAAAACCCCAATAAGTCATCAGCGCCAGACAAAAAGAACTTTTAAATATCACCAATTAATTTTAATTAGTTTCCTCGCCAGGCACGATATCTCGCGGTACAAGAGCTCGAATGATAATTCAATAAAAGAGGCCAAGCAAAAAACTGAGTGTAATTAATATTTTTCCATCGACGTGACGAAATTTCCATGCGCGGAGGATTTCACGATGGCAAAAAGCCGGCCGCAATGGAGGGCAAAAAGAAGTTGCCAATCATCACCTATTTGTGTCTGAGGCCGCTTGCAAGAAAAACACACACACACCATTTTTCTTGGGGATATGATAAAGTGTATATCAATCATCGATAGGCAAACAATTGGCTGTTGTCTTAAGCCAAGTGCGCGCGCGCGACAAATGGCAAAAACAGCCAACATGCTTGAGTGGCACCAGAATAAGACAATTAATTTACATTTTTGAACTTCAAGGATGCCACAAAGCACATGGAAATTCATGTAATTTGCCTAACATGATGTTGATGAATATTGGCGCACGATGAAAAAATCCCCAATCACGATGTCTCACGACTTTTCCGTGTTTGTGTCTCATGAAGAAATGCGCATTTTTCCGCCTCTCCACACAGGAAGATTCCCCTATTCTACAATTAGTGACTCTGCGGAAGGAGTCAAGGCTTCTGACTTTTGTCTTCTCAACTTGCGTGATTTCTATTTCGGATTTCTGAAAATCACCTCTTGGCAGCGCTTTTCTGAGGGAAGACTTTTAACTATACGCACTGCGAGAAGTTCAAGGTATGCAAAAGCGAAGACAAAAGCAGCTTGCTGGAAAGAAAACAACTTCAGACTCAATGTACTGATAATTGATCGTGATATTTAATATGATTCATCACATCAATCCCTTTATGTAGTCTTTTTCTTTGATAACCGCAAAGAATTTTATTTTTACTCATCATGCTTGAAAGTATTTTCAAGACTTTAAGAGTCTGGATGACATTTTAAAATATTTATAAGCAAACAAAAGTTATATCTTAAGAGTTTACTGACATTTCACCCATAAAAAACTAAATTAAAACAATCCAATGAATAAGTATTGAACATTTCTTAATGCACGAAATCCGATGAGTTTTTCTTGCAAATTCCAAGAACAATGGGCATGAAAGCAGTGTTATTTTATGATAGATCACCGAGTGAATAAAAGATGTGTGTAATTATTAATTAGAGAGCCGCCCAAAAGTCTGCGCGAGATTCCTGGGCCATAAATTTTGTGGAATTCCACACTCATTGCTGTGAAATGCTGTAAAATGCTGCAAAATTAGCCGTCGATAGCGACTTGAGAGATGCTCGATTTTTCTAAAGCTCTCCCAAAGCACTCTGAGGCTTGCGCAATGTGTTGCCAATTCGAGCCGCGCGAGTGTTATGAGTCAGAGAGATCTGGACAATGCACTCCCATTTCGTTCTTCAGGTGGTCTCGCGTTAATTTGTCAGCGATCCCTCCCGTCCATCTGAGCAGTATGGGAGCTCCAGCGTTATTAATAAACACCGGGGAGATAAATGACTGTGGAATTTCTCGTTGCAGTGGTATTTCTGGCGTCATCAGGTGGTTCGTGGAGCCATTTTCGCGCGCGCGAAACTCTGCGCCGTGTTAATTTCCGTCAGACATTCCTTGGGATGCATATTACTCATTTTCCCCATCTGTTTTTATCTCCATCGACACATTGTACAGCGTCTATTGACACAGAGCCAATAAATATCACGGCTTTATAACACCCATCCGCACACTTGCAAGCCTTCCATCTCGCAGGCTCTTTTCGTCAAACCACGGACTGTTCGCGCTGCGATGCTCGAATGCATGCCAGAGTCGTGATTAGTCAAGGGGCGACGTCTGCAGACTCCTCAAGCGATGTAGAGCTGGAATATCGATCCGAGAATGTGTGGATTTGAGCAGTTGTTTGCCCCTCGGCTGCCGCGATATCCCGTCCTGGCCAGCCGCTCATTTGCATCGCTGGCGCGGCCTTTTGGTCCCCGTGACTAAGGACCGGAGGAATGTCCGGCGATGTTGCATTGCTGGCCCGGCAAAGAGCTCTCTATCGCTCCGCGGGCGAAGTGCTAATGCCGCCAAATGACTCGCGCGTCGCGGGGGAATAGATTGAAACTCTATGTTCTGAAGCCAATTGACGAGTGATTTATGAGCTGTGCAACTTGAGGGCTGAGTGCATTTGGACATGGGATTGGCAAATTCTACAAATTATTACTTTTTTCCCTCCCAAATCTCATGCTAGTGCATGTAAGACAAATTTTTCACGTGTTTGACTTTCCAAATTGCCCCCGTGAGTGATTGATTGTCGACAACTCGTGTCTCTCGAGTCTCGTGACTTTTCTCATGGAACACCAAATGCATTTTGTGGCGGCGGGGCAAAAGTTCGAGAGATCACAAGACAGACATTTGGTGATAAACTGCATTGACTATGGCTTTCGAAGGAAGACAGCGTTCTGGTGGACGCAAGAATTTTAACTTAGGCTCTAGAAAATTGCAAATTGATGATTCATACCTGAGATAAACTGGCACTGAGTCTCCAAATCTGGACGCAGCGAGAATTATTTGGCCATCCGTTGCTGCCATGACTGAAAAACTGGAGGAAGCTGCTGTCTTGCAATTCGACACTCCGTGTGAACACCAAATGCTGTGTCCTCGCAGGCTCGGCTCACATTGCGCCCGCGGTTTTGGGCACGAATTCAATCCAGGAGCCTGAATTCGCAATCAACTGGCCTGTCTTGCTCACGTTGCAGCGCTCTGCAAGAAAAATGAGACCTCCGTTAATTAAATATGTTAACACAGCGCGCAAGTTGCAACAATTAAGGCTCTTTTTACTCCATTTGCCACTGTGCTCTTGGCATTTTTTCTCCCCCGCGCGCGTCACAAAGACGCTGCGGAGACTTTTGTATACATCAGTGGGAAAGTTGAGGCGTCTCTTGCCTCTTTCTCCTTCGGCGTTGAACAAGAGAGAAAAATCTTGAGAGAGTTGAGCAAGAAAGCAATTAGCGAGAATTTCACTTTAGCTGACGAATTATTCTTTCTTTCTGCCTCTCGGCCAGTGACGCACCATTGAGCTGCCGAATGACCTTAACCCCATTTTCTCTCCGCTCGTTTTACTTTTCTTTTCTGCGCCTCCGCCAGCCGGAAGTTCACGCTGGCTTGCAGCTGAACCCTGCACCCAGAAATGTTGCGAAATCGCGCACTGTCGCGGGCCCACGATCGCGAGTGTGGCGCCCAGAAGGGGCGCATCATCGAGCCAGACGCAGTACAAACACTTTTCAATGGCGCATTCTCACGAAATCACATGCACAATGGCTCTCAATTGAGTGAAATTGGCACAATTTCTCCCCAAGTTTCTTCGCAATTTCACCGTAAGTTTCGCTTACAAATTCAATTTGCTTTATAATCACGAATTATTTGTTTTGCAATACAACTTGCACGTTATGTTTATGTTTTCCTCTCGATTTTTCGCGCTCACTTTAACGATCAAAAGACGCCTCTTAACAACCTTATTTTTTCGGGGAAAATATAGCTCTTTCTCTTCAGAGTGCACATGAATTAATTAAGGCCAAAGCTGAAGATGTTGGAATAAAAAGGCAATCTTGTTAAAAGCTCATTAAATTCTGCAGAGAGACATTTGATCCATCAAAAGTAAATTTAATCCCAAACTCCATCTTCTCCTCATCTTTTCTGTCCATTTCATGACTCAAGGCGGATGCAAATGAAGAAAATCGAACAAGTTCAGCAAATCATCTCCACACGCATCTTCTTCTCCCTTATTTGCAACATCTTAACACCGGCCGAGAAGCCGCACAAGTCAAGCTGACATGTAAATCGTCATTCGCATTTTTCTCCCCGTCGTTCTAAAATTACAAAGTTTATTAAACAGACACTCGTTTGCACAAAAAAGCGTGTGTTGAATGTTCTCCTTGCATGTCGAATAAAAATGCCTTGTTTATTAATTAAAAACGAATCAATTACCCAAAGTTAACTAGTGTGTGTATGTGGCTTTATAGCGTCTTTTTTCTGCGGTAAGAAGCTTATAAGTTCATGGTGAAAATAAATTTCAATCACTTTCTGATGCGCCACACCTTTCGCATGGGTGGCGGAGGGAAAAAAGAGCAATTTCCGGATTCATGCTGACACGGGAGAATGGAATCAATAAGCACAGTGTTTGTTCTTGACCCATTCGCATTGATTCGACCGGAAAAGGAGGTGACTTCTCGCGCTGTTACAGCTGATAACATATTGAATTTAGTGGCTTCTCGCCGAATAGAAATGGGCTTTTAGTGCCAAGGGGAAGTGATTATTTTCGAGCGAATTGCATGACGATTGGTGTTATTTAAATACAAATTGCTGAAATAAAATTGTACATTTAGCGGAACATTTGCATATAAAACAAATATTTTTACAAGTTGTTTGAAAGTGTAAATGTAACTTTATAGATAGAAATCGTGCACAAGTGAGTAAAGACATCCTTTTAACCAATTTCTTTTTTCCAACCCCATTTTAATAGGTCATACATATGCGATCCAATCGAATTGAGCGGGGTTTAGTTGAAATTGCGATGGACAGAAAAATAGTTTCACAGCACTTCAATAGCTCCCAGACTATGTATTGAAGCGTATGTTTGGCGACAAGAACTTAAAGAATGAAGCACGGCGAGGACAGAAAGTGCTGCAAATTTCCCTGCATCGCATTTAATGGTCATTTGCAGTTTCCGCTGCGGAAAGTTGCGTGAGTTGCTGCTCTCCTTGAGTGGCGGTCTTTGTCTGCGGTGGTGAAAATGAATCTTCTTCGGTGTCATGTCTCGCCATTCATGCCTGAAATGGCATATTTAATAACAATAATCGCCTGGGCTTTCCTTCGGGGAATCGCGTCTCGGCCCGCGAGGCTTCTTCGCATGGCGCGGCGTTGGCTTTCCTCCTGCACAATTTGCATATATGATCTTTTATGATCTTCATTATGATGCAAACACAAATATCCAAAAGCAAATGAGTTTATGATATTGTGGTGTTGGTCGCTCGGCTCACATGAGGTATGTGGTTAAATGTACTAGAGCATAAAGTCTTGGGTGTATAGTAAAACGTGAAAGAAATTGAAACTATTAAATGTGAAGTTTATTTTTATCGTTTCCTCTCTCCTCGACTGGCGCGCGAGAAAATGAAACGCTGAGAGATGGTAAAAAATATTTAAGTAAATGATGGTTTTGCATGAATGACTCCGTCGGGATGGATGGCTGACTGAATTGTTGCGCGACCTCAGCATTGGAGGGAATTCATTGCCTTGAATCTGCCACAGCCGCGCGTTGTTTTGTATTCAAATGGACGCGCGGCGAAGGGGCTGAAGACGTTGATGGTCAGCCGGCCGGCAAGACTCTGGCCCAGCACAATAAATTCTATACCTGCGCGCGGATTATTTGCATTGCCAGCGATGAGAGACGCCAAATCTCATTATTCAGACACATTCGCGCTCGTCTTCGCGCTGCCATTTTCCCGCGAAAACCCTCCATTTCCACGGGGTGTCCCGCGGTGGGCAATCACCGTCCACGGCAAATTGATTACGCGGAAGCTGTTTATGGTGTACAAATTGCCGGGAATGCGAGGGATTCCGCCGCTATGGCGAGATGAATGTGTGCGCCAAGCAATTATGGCTTCTAATGAACTTGGGATTTGTTTTCGCAGTAAAATTCTGCTCCACCCTTTTCCAATTCGTGCTCATTGGAAAACACTTTTTCCCGCTTCTTCACGGCACATTTGGTGTCTGCGGTGCGAACTCCTTGCGAGAGTTGTGTGGTATGTGAGAATTGCGCGGCCAATGCCCAGGAGCGAGGGGTTAACAATCCCCGAGGGGAAAGCCTCTCGAGCCGTTTTGATCAAAGTGCGACAGCAATTTCGGCAGATTAGATTTGCGATTCGCCCAGCGAATGAGTACGAAATGTCGTGCAGGAAGTTTATGGGGGATTTCGGATAGAACGGAAGTGACTTGATGTCCTGGGTTTGCGACTTATCCACCCCTCGGGCAGGAGTGATGACCGCGATGCGCTGCGAGAAGAAGAAAAGCACCCAAGATGCTGTAACTCACGAAAGGAGCTAAATTGGTCAGATGGATAATCAACGTTGGTTTTTCAATTTGCAATTTTTTCCCATTATTCCTCCGTCAGTTTGCCAAGATCCCAGGATCGATGATTGGCCAATGTGAATACAAATTGCCTTCTCCGCTTGACACAATCTCGCCATCCTTGCGCCGTCTTCCGCCTCGCTGGTGGACGAGTCATAAATTTTTCGGTGACAATTGCAACCATTGAAATTTTGCACTCACGGCACCGCCAATGGTCGATGACCTGCGCATGGGATTCACTTTCCATCCGCGAATCCCATTCGAGATGCTTGGACGACAAAGAAATTCTTTTTTCCCACCAAATCTAATTCTTCAGGCGCGGCGGATTTCTCTCAATGTGACCACCCAAGAAGCGAAAAACTCCGTAAATTGCCTGGCTTGTCACACGGAATCTTCGGGTCCATTCTCTGGGCTTTTTGCTCTCAGCATGCTAAAGCGGAGTCCATTTCGATGTCATCGCTGAATGAAGCACTAAATTTAGAGGCGAAGATAGGGAAATGATAGTGAAAATCAGCTCAGGAAATTATCAGGGGGTGAAGAAGCCACTTTCACTGACCATTGACCTCGATTCACCAGCGAGATGCGAAGGTTTCCGGTGAAGGTCGTGCAGAGATGAGCGCGCGAATGCGTTTCGCGGCCTTCTGGCTAATTTAATTTATGATTGGTTTCGAAAAGAAAGCCATAAATTTAGTCATGTGTGTAAATTTGGAAAGATGCCTTTTGCCATTCAAAGCGTTTAACCCTTATCTTGTGGCGCGAATCTAATATACTCTGCAAAATCAACTTGATTTATATGGCATCTCAATGGTGCTTAAGTTTGTCAATTCCTTCCTTTGATTCAATCACTTTTACTTGCAACACAATTCCGCGACTCTTTGCAGATTTCCATCGATAAGCCAATTCATGTCCATTTATGGTTCTCTTGGACCAAAAGTGCGCTCAATTGTGCGCGATAGAGATCTCCAGGTGATGCAGAACAGGCAATTAGTGGCGTTTTTGGCAAATACAGTGACTTATTGGCGTCGGTGGGTGTGTTGGCGACCCCTCGGCGAATGTCCTGATGGAAAGTGTTAAAGAATTGCCACAAAGGCCAACAGCAAGAATGACAATTGTGTGATCAAGTCTTGGCAATAATGGGCATTGCAGCCAAAGAAACAACATTAGATTGTCGCGCACACAATTGCCGCATGTATAAATTGGTCTCCCTTCTGCCATTGTGGAATATTAAATACAGCATACATTTATTGTAATCATAACAATAACATAACAAATGTTCCTAAACACACACCAACCCGCCTCTGGGATGTTTCGTGGCGGGGAAAGAGTGCTCTCTCACATCTCTCTCTCTCTCTCTCGGGATGTTGGCATCGGCGACAGAGGGTATTATTACCACCATTTTCAATGCTATTCAATGCAATAGAACTCTGTTTTGTTCTGCTTTTCTCCCATGCTCCTTTCCGTTCTATGGAAATTTATTCATGGAGCAATATCGTCTGCAAGATGACAAGAACTAACAACATCCATTGAGCTTTGTTGGCTCTCTCGGTGGGAACTTCCTCGCGCGCGCGCGCAAGAAAGTCCCAATGTGTGCCTAAGCAAATTGCAAACCTTAGAGAAATCACCACCATTTATCACTGCGTCTGATAAGCATTATCTCAAGGTGACTCCTCAATTCCACTTCCCCGCTGCACAAACACGCGGGATTATCTCTCAATTATCCGCCGGGCGGCGAGATTGGGGGCGGAGGAGGTGCAAAAATGAGCTCAGCGCGTAATTACAAGACATCACTTGAGCCCCAACTCTGGGGCTGCGCACGGAGCCAGTTCTCAGCCTAACGAGCCTGTATTGTGCTCCGGGTCTCGCCTCGCAGACGATCTAATAATAGTTGCTCTCTCAGATGGTGGAGGTGGACCCAAGAACCACTGCTGCTGCTTTTCTCCCAGCTCTTGCAGCTGCCGTTGCCGCGCAGTGCAGCAGAGTTGATGCCACGGAGGCTTTAGATAAGATTCCGCTGAGCAGAGTTTGCGGATCTCGTTGCATCAGGTGTCATTCGTTGAGAGTCGCGATTTGAGTCTTCCCAACACCTTGTGCGTGGCGATTGCATCACAATCACAGTCTTTCTCCCTTCTTAAAATAGCAGCCAATGTCAATTTCTCAGTGATTTTCCTGTCACGAGATTGTGATTATCATAACCCCCCATTGTTCGCTAATCTCGCCTCTCTAATCTATCGCATTTGCTCATCTGTGTGCATGAACGGCAACGCATACGTGAAGGTTTCTCAGAGCGTCTTATCGATGAACGGTCTAAAAGAGCGCATTCTTCTAATAGATGACCCGCGAGAAGTGCCTAAGAATTTGATAATTTTCAATTTCACTCGAAAGCCCCGTCAATTTTGATAATAGCAGAGCTTGCGCGAATTCCTCATCTCATTTTTCACATTTCTTCGGCAGCAGCTGCGGAACTATGCTGAAAGTTGGCCCTGAAACTCACCATCCCGCATTCATGAGCTGGGAAAAGAAAAAAAGGCTCGTGTGCAATTTTGTATTTATTCATGAGTGGTTCTTTCTTTTGCCATATATTCCACCCATAATCATCTCTCGGGCGGGAGAGAAGAAATCTCTTATGGTGAGCCTCTTCTAAACATATAGAATTTGCATACAAAATAATAACATGTGTGCGCCGTTTTCTCTATATGCGAGTGTATAAAAGTTCTTATGCTGATTTGTTACTTTTTCTCCTCACATTAGGTCTCTTTTTTTCCCCTTGCGCCGTCCATGGCAGACGCACAAACACACGTGCATTTACGGGAGATGCTTTGGCAGAAGAAGCAATTTGTCCATGTCTCGAATACAATGACCTTTCTTGATTATGTTATTTGTTATTTGAATTTTTACTATTAAAATCGCGCACACAGGAATTCTCCACCGCCACAAATGGCAACGCGAGTGGTGTAATTCGTCAATTTTATGGTTAATATTGCCATTTAATTTCCAGCGAGGAAAATTGAGCAATGCAGAACGGATGGTCGCTCGAGATTTCTTTTCCATCGCGCGCACACAGATTTCCTTATGCGATAGTGTCCGGCAGAACATCGTGTTATTGACTTTTTAGGATCGCGCGCACTTCTCTATTTCCCTCCACGACTAGCATTAGATCAACTTTTGATGATTGTACGAATTGCCAGACGAATAAACTCTGTCACTGTGGAGAAGACTTTGAGCGTGGACAAGCAGAAAAAAAAACGCCGTGAGTCAGAATTTGAGATGAATTAATTTTAACAATCCAAAGTGAATCCCGAAGAACAAAAGAAATCACACACTCAGATCGAGATTCTGTCAATCAAAGTCACTTTGACGGGTGTTTCTCTTTGGGAGCCGAAGAATTAGGAACATCTGGTCGGGCATGATATGCTAAAATGGCTCAAATGGCCCTAATCGTGACAACTTGACTGGCCTATCGATGGCCGTTTTGGGCGATGGCGGTCCAATTCACGTGTATGAGGACACTTTAGGCGATGCTGAACTACGTCAGCGTGAAGCTCTGCGGGGTTTTCCCCGAAGATTCTGCACAATTCTTTCATGAAGATGATCGTCAATTTCTCAACAACACTCAAGCATTATCTCAGAGAGAAGAGATCATTTAACGACCATTTTTCTCGTATTATAATGCCTAAGAGGCGCACTTTGCCATCAATCATACCAGGAAAAGTTCCTCATCTGCTTAAGAATGGACGTACAGTGATTCCAAATTCAATAAGAACACACACAGAAACACTGGGTAATTTAACTAAGACTTTTCACTGTTCTTATTTCCCTTGAAGCAACTGTAGATATCAAAATTTCCAGTGCCGTATGAATCGAGGAAGTAATCGAGAGCTTCTTCTTGTAATTGAATCTCGGTGAGAAATATCAATTATTCGATTTTTTCGACATCACAGACACTCCTCATTGTGATTCTAGGCGGATGCCGAGAAGATCTCTCGCCTTGATTAGGTGTCTCGTGATTGATTTGGCGGACTTGTGGGATTTTTCTATCCATCTTACATAACATTTGACCCACACTTCATCAAGAGGCGCATCCATCACGCATCTGCGCCTCAATTCCATGGCGAGATTCTCTTGATTAAGTCCAATATTTACACTCGAACCCGTTGCGGTGCAGTCCGCGGGACGTAGACAGATGGTGAGTTAAATTACCTTTGCACTCTCCTTAGAATAATATCAAATGCGTGTGTTTTAGTCGTTGGGCGCGCGATGTGAAATGCGGTTGTACCGTTAAGTTTAGGAATATCGCGACTACGCCGGATTAGGGAGATGAGAGAGCAATAACGAGCATGACACTCTTGCACACACTCCATTGGACACACTCTATCGCCGAGGAAGTCGTGCACACACGAAAATGCCCACCCTCCAGCCATGAGACACCCACAATTGATGACTCTCAGCCACTCTGCACTCAATTGAAATTAGTGCCTCTGATAACTCCGGCTGTGCGCGGGAAATTAATTGAGAAAATGATTGCAATCGCGACTTTCCGCATTCAATTCCAGCCAATTGCGTACAATTTCCCATCTGCGCGAGATCAGAATCTGGGAAAATTGAGGATAACACAAACCAGGACACTTCCTTCACAATAAATCCCGTCAATCTCTGTCCCAATTAGAGCGGAAATCGCTCTCTCTCTCTCTCTCTCTCCTGAACATGACAAAGAGACGCCAATTGCGCGGGGAAGAGTAATTAAGAAATCGTGATTTATTGAGTGAGATTGCATGTGAAATCTACGAGACACTTCTTGCAGAGGTGATGGTGTCGCAATTGGGTGTCTCGCAGCCTTTTTTCACCTTCCCAATCAATTGAGATTGTAAATAGAACGAGGCGTTCGGAATTAGTTCCAGATACACTTTCACACAAAACGACCAAGCATTTAAAATTGCGCGCTCCATTGTGGAATCGTGGCGGCAATATTGGCAATAGTTGGCAATCATTAGTGGCCATTTTTCGCGCAATTGCCATTTTTTCCGAAACCATTAGAATTCCATCATCACATTGAGGGAGCATTCCAATCAACAGGTTCTCTCTCGTGGCTCTCTTTGGGGGAAGAGAGACACAGTGCTCGAGATATAGGCATAGTTCCAGGAAGAGGCGAGACCCACAATCGCGGATCTTGTCACGAGAGGGACAAAGGTCCGCTCGAGGTTGATTCACACAGGGAATTGCAGACCGAATATCACTCGAGAGTCCCGTTTGGCTGCCCAGCAGGCACTCAGTGGTCGTGATTTGTGCGATCTCTCGTGAAGAATCGAGCAAGTCGCAAGTTCAGAGGAGTTCCAGCTCTGCCTTCCAGCACGATTCGCACGTGGAGCTTCCCGGTGACCCAACATGATCTCCGCGGGAACGCAAGTGCGTCCCGAGATGACCATCGATTGCCAGGGCATCGAGAGACATGATAATTTACAGTGCCGCGAGAGAAGGCAACGCACTCAGACTTAAATAACAGATTCGACTTCATCTTCAATACTGACTTCAAGAGACTTGCAAACTAATTCATCTGATTGCATACGCAGCAGAAACATTGGACTTCTCCTCAAGTCGCCGGACTGAGTGTGCACGAAATACAGTTTCTTGCGAGTGTGTCTCGTTATCTGAGAGTCGCTTATCATACTCCCTTCGATATGCGCTTTTGTCTTGGGCAGGTGGTTTTTTGCAGAAGAAAAACCCACGGCGTAATAGCCATATCCCAAGCATTGCAGATCAAATGAGAATATATCTCTGCTTTTTGCCCAGCTTTTTCACCTCGAATCACTTACACTTTAATGGAAGAGCAGTGTGAGACGCTGAGAGTCCTCCAATATGGTCTGATTTACTCCACTCATCCGCGGCGAACTCATCAGTTGTGCGCTGAACATGGATATTTAGCCATTAGCCGGTGAACGCCTGCAAGAAGAAGGCAGTGAGATCTCCGCGAGAATGGCCAAAGTGGCGAATAGAATTAAATACATATAATGAATACAATTATTTTACATAATCATTCAATTACCTAATTGCTCGTCATTTTTTAAATTCCCAGCGCAGGTCAATATTAAATAATAACAATATACAATAATTGTTAGATGCAAAGGCATTGCAGTCATCCTGCGTCGTCGGCCAAGATGAATGCAATTGCGGGTAAATTAATAAGTGAATCACACACAAACCTCTGATTTTATATGGCTTGTAACATTGTGATTTTCACGCTCTTGCGGTATATTGATGCACTATCGTTAAGAATTGAGATCGTGCTTAATGGTAAACCGGATAAAATTATCTTTACGCTCTTTCGTGCCTTTATTTAGTCTATAAAACGAAGAACGGCAAGATATGTTCCCGATGGATGGAAAAGACGAGAATAAAGTGCATCTCGTATCATGAGATTTATTTAATTGTGTTTTCCTCTAACTAAACACTTTCTATTTCAGTGTTTTTCGGTTCTGTCTAACATTACACTCAAATCTTACTAGATAAGATTGCACCTGAAATCACTGACGTTCATTCTTCTTTATTTTGCCCTAAAACCGGGGTTATCATCCCAAATTTCGACTCCAGCGATAATGAATACCTCATTGGGAGTAACAATCGCCGAATTTGAATGGTGTGTGATCAATTCGCACCGCTAATAAATTAATTATGAGACGCGCAGGTAAACCGCGAATTAGTCACGCCGCGTGACCTTCTTTTTGTCCTGACCGCACATCAACCGATTCACTCGCTGGGGTCACTCAACTGCGCCCATTTAAATACCATTATTTGGTTCAATGGCGAAGAAAAGGAGGATAGTGGTGAGCTTTCATTTTCACCATCTGCAGAAGCGTCCGAAAAAGACCTCTTGAAAGGAATCCACACTCTTTTGAATCTAATTAAGCACTCTCTATGGTGGTGTTCGTGGCAAAAAGAGCCAAGCTCTAATGACTAGAAATAATTCAACTCTTGTTTGAGTTCATGATCGAAGGAGAGAGATGAGAAATGGAGAGGAGGTTTTTTTCACCGGCGCGCAATGGAGAATAGCAAAATCGCTGATTCAAGAAAATCATTAAAGAAGTCTTGTAAATTTTTAACCTAATCGAATAGAACAAAGTGATAAAAAAGAAGTGCTGAGGAGGTGAAAAAAGACGCACAGGGCAAAAACACACAACAAATCATTCCAGTAGCCGTAAAAATCCCGCGAAGCCATTCAACATGTGGAAGAGACTAAAGGTAATAATCGAAAGGAGCAGACAAAACGATCAAACGAATGCTATTGAGCTGGCGGAATTGGATTTCTTTTGAGACACACTCTGCGTAGCCAATGACTCTGTGCCTCCCTTTCAAGCACCATATTTGCCATTTCATCCCCGTGAACTTCTATGGCTTCACAGCTTGATTGCCTCGCACTGCGGCTAATCCGGAAATGATTACGATCAAGCTGCAAATTATAGTGCTTTTTTCCTATTGCTTCCCTACTTAATAGGTCCACCATCTCCTGAATCTACAAGTAATTTCCTCATGAGCTCCATGCGCGCGATCTTGAAGATCACGGCATGATTGCAGAATGATGGCACAGAGAAATCCCCAAATTTACCTCAATGAAGATCGCATGAGATCATCAGATGAAATCCTCCGACAAATTGGCATGGAAGTGAAGTAAGAAGTCTCTCTGCTTTACGACCAAAGCACATGATCATTAGCTCTCAAAAATAGATCGTCAATTGCGATCCAGGAAATGTACTTGCGCGCGCAATGATCATTTCGTGAGAAGAAAAGGAAGCAGCAAAGCATTTTTAAGAATATTTATGCATCGATGCTGAATTCCCCACATATTTTCTCACTTATTTCCTGACTTTTAGCATCCAAAGTCAAGATCATGGGAGATCTATAGCGTGAACTATCATAACACAGCGATGAAAAAGCGACTATGACATTGTAAATGGTGGGAAAATTGGATTTTATTTATTCAATGCAGGGAAGAAAAACACCATCGCGGCGCTATAAGAGCGATCTCCAGTGAAATTTATGGCTCGATAGAGCGCTGCAGCATTTGACATTTTCACGATGCAATCATAAAAGGTGTTTAAGTGTTACACGAATTAGATATATTTTGTACTTCAGCCTCTTGGCGGGAATCGAGAGACACTTTTAAGTGCACGCAATGGCCAATATATCACCAGTGACACTTTATAGGCCTTTCTGTGCAAATTACGCGCCGTGGCAATCCTTTTGACTGATGGTGGCTCTTAAGAGGTAAATAAACTGATCTTCTTGACTCGCGATTTAGCGTCCTTCGGCGCGCTTTCTCGAAACATTGCGCACAGCAAAGGTTAAGCTTGTTTTTAAAGCTTCGAGGAAGCGCCATTCACAATAAAGATCATAATTACAATCGTAACCTTTTCCATTTTTTTTAACGAGACTTTATCGTTTCGCCAGTGGAATTTAAATCTCCCTCAGAACTTCGATGCTCTAATATTTCTGCAATCCTTCATAGACTCCACACAATTCTAGACACTTATGACTTGTTCTCAATCCTAAATATTGAGAAATAGTGTGCAAACGTTGCAATTTTTACACACTTCTAACTTAGAGTCGCGCGGTATTTATTGGCGATTTGCATAAGAAAGCTGCTCTGCAAATCGATCGACCAGTTCTCGCGCCCCACACAAATTACAAACTCACTGACCGAGAGATTTTTGCGCACTGCAAATGTGGAAATTTCCAATAAAAATGGCAATCTGAATACTTGTGCGCTGGATTTGGTGAGGTGACAAAAGAGCAGTTCCGCCACTCTGGCGTGTCAGTGACCAGGCAAATTATTTAATCTCTCTCCGCTGAGGTGCGTCGACCTCATCCTCAGGTTTGTCAACTCACGCCAAATACTGCACTCTGCGTGTCATCCACATTTTTGTGCTCAGCTTCGGCGTCAAGCTTCGATAATCCACTTTGGCGCTAGACTTTGTTTACCAATTCGCTGTAATTGGCCGCGAGGCGCGATGATTGTGCAATTTGTTCTTAAAAAGCCAATGGCAACACTTGAAGCCTCGAGGCACAATGCGAGGCTGATTAGGGCGCGAAATAAATTGGCGACGGCGGGTGAAAGAGACTCTCGAGGAGCGTCACGAGGATGATGATGACTTTTAAATAGCGTCATGCTTTGCCATCGCACATGATGATGATGTTTAAATTTTATGCTTTATAATTTATGAAATTTAGAAAATAATTATATGATTTACTTGTCATCTTTTGTGTTACTTTTCTCTCTGTCTCGCGCAGAATGCACACAATCTTTATGTCTTTCCAATTTCACACATTGTCTCGCGGCTCGTGAAATGCTTCCTTCCCTTGCAACGCGTCAAATCGGTGGAAAATTATTTCTAAATTCCTCACAACTCGCGAACCATCGTCAGTCCAACCCGAAAAAAAACCCATCCGCGACTTAATGCAGAATCATCACTCGCGAAGAGAAAACGGTTATTGGATAAAAATGTTGTAATAATGAAGTCGAAATACGCCAAAGTCTTCCTGGATAACAGTCGCGCGGAGTGTATTATTCTCTCTCCGCGCAAAGGCAATTCTCTTCGAAGGTCTCTGAACCATAAGACATACCGAAATACTTTAATAATTAATAATTCCCTCCATCACGCGAAGGTGAAGCACAAAATTGCCATTCACACCGCAAATCTGCAATCTAATGCAAATACGAGATTAACTGCAAGTCTGTCGATTCGAGAGACTTTTGCAAGATTGCTTCTGGAGCGCGAAACCATATTCACATGTTCATTTTCATTTTCTCGTGTTCGTGTTCCATTCAAGCCAGGAATTCGTTGCCAAAATTCAACAGCGCAAACTGCACAAAGAGTCCATTAAGCACAATCAATCTCGCGGGCGATTTTTGGCATTGATAGCATCGGTCAAGACTCAATCGAGAAACACCTTTTAGAGCTAATTGTGGTGATCTTCGGCCAGAACCCACGAAAAAGCATGGGCAAAAGATCGCTGAGCAACGGTTTCAGGCAATCATTTACGCGCCTTGCGTTTTTGTGTGCAATAATCAAGAGGAAACAGGTGACAAGTTGGACTAAAAAGAACCTATCCAACCAGTTCGCGAGCCAACTGCCCAACATGGACAGCGGTGAACTTTGATTTTAATGCACTTGCGACGGCGGAATTTATGATTCGGTCCAATTTCACTGTCTTTTAGGAAAATATCACGTGTGCATAAACAATAAAATTGCCATTTGATTTGGAGGAAGGAAAAAAAAACGTGTTGTGATTAGATTTAATTAAGGAAACTTAATTCGGTCAATGCGATCTCTGTGTGTTACAATGTTGTGGAAGACACGGAAACACTCTCGTGAGTCAATAAGAGGCGTACAATCTCCACAATACATCTCATTAATGCCGTCTTTTTTGCCGACAACTCTCGCGCTTTTTTTCTCCCAGGGGAACACCACAATGGAACCACAAAATAACGGTGCGCGATGACGCTTCGCGGAATCAACGCGCGCGGCCGAAGACATCCCATGAGAGGTGCTAATGCCGGCGAATCATATTAAAGTGAGATTTAAATATTTTATCAATTAAAATGTTTTGAGTGCCGCTGCTGGGCTTTTGCCGCGCACCGCGTCAACAACAATAAATCTCTTCCCGCGCGAAGGTGTGACAAAGTAGAAATTGATCGCCAGATCACGATCCTCACGCAATTGCATCTGATCCTTCACTTTGACATTCACCGGAGAATTCCTCAGTGGATTTGCCATGATCACAAACTCCCGAAAAACCATCGTAATCCCGCATAATTTTGCCTCTTAAGCGCAAGAGCAGGCAAAAAACCGCGCCTCTCAAAGTCAAAAGTATTCCACTTTAGTTCCCGGTGTTTTTACAGCCCATGTCGAAAACTTTCGTTGGTGAGCGTCAAAGAATACTCTTTT